TGATATGAATAAATGACACTATTGATACTATTTGTGATATGATAATTAGTTCATGAAGTTCTCTGTGCGGGCCTCTGCTAGTGCCTTGTTAGTTGTGGTTTCCTTTTTCTTATCTCACCTGACTAAAAGTCCCATGCTTCATTATCCAATCTCATTATAATCTGATCTCTTACTCCGATACAACACCCCTCCCCGTGAAGATCTGAGGACCTTCATTGGAGGTCGTGTCAGGTGAACTTTCTAATCAGCCAATCAGAGTCAAGGCTTCTAATTCTCAGTGTGAGCGAGGGAAGCATTTAAGTGTCACATGAGTGAGTGAGTGAGTGAATAAGTTGGGTTTAACACCGCTGTTAACAGTATTCCAGTTATATCACGGCATGTCAGCTTAATGTGGGAGGAAAGCCCGAAGTGATGCAGGTCTCAGATATTTACCACTTTGGTGAAACCAACGAGCACGGATATGGTGCCGACAAACCTAGAAACATAATCGGGGTGAACCAGGATTCAAACCCACAATCATAGGTTTCTGGCGTGTCCAAGGGATGCAACTCTGCACAGCAAATCGCAGCGCCTTAGACGACTGGGCCACCCATGCCCCTGCGTCACATGTGACATAACATACCAGTATGTTTGTTTGCGTATCGAACCAATCTAATATCTCTTGAATATGAGTAATTCTTCATATATTGTTTTCGCGTTTCTCTTGGCATCAGTATATCATAGTGATCTTAGCACTGTGAGAGTTAAAATATCGGAATCAGGATCATCTTAGGGATAAGATCACTTTGTAAAATGGATCCCACAACAGACTCATAAACTGTGATGTCTGTTCCGCATTTCCCACCTTGACATATAGTAGACAAGAAGTAAGTTCTCTGCTCAAAATATCAATCACTGTCTGGTCCTGACTCGATTATTTACAGACTGAGTTGCTGACTGTGGCGCTAAACAAGCAGTGTAACATTTGATGGCAACATCAGATAGAGAGTTCTGGTTTTATTGAGTAATTGATGAGTACACAATAGTTATGCAGATTCTTGAAACATGTTTGTATTGCCAACTGGAATATTAATAACCTGTCTCAGCACCGGATGTCTTGCATGCTGTTGCGGCTCTCACTGGTGTTGTTGTTAAATATTTATTGGTTCCTTTTGACTCGTAACTAAGGGACTTTTTATTGGATTACAGATCATATTTTAAAAACCAGAGTCAGTGGCTAAAGGGGAAATGAAGCTACTTTCTGTTAAATATTGTTTCTCAAAAGAATGGTCTGTAGATGAAATAAGAAATTAATACATTCTGCTTTGACTGTTTCTTTGAGAGTCATATTTCCCATTCCTATATGGGGGGCACGGGTGGCCCAGTCGTCTAAGGCGCTACGATTCGCTGTGCAGAGTTGCATCCCTTGGGCACGCCAGAAACCTATGATTGTGGGTTTGAATCCCGGTTCGCCCTGATTATGTTTCTAGGTTTGTCAGCACCATACCCATGCTCGTGGGTTTCACCAAAGTGGTAAACGTCTGAGACCTGCATCATTTCGGGCTTTCCTCCCACATTAAGCTGACTCACAGTGATATAACTGGAATACTGTCAAAAGTGGCGTTAAACCAAACTCACCCAACTCATTCCTATATGACTACATGTATTGTGGGTAAAGAATTTGATGCTATAGTGTAGGCCTGTTGTGAATGGCATACAATTTCAAGGGAACAGTCTGCAGAAAGTAAAAACAGGCTGCAAAGACTTACATCCACTTCATCAAAACCACAAACATTTGCCATGTAACACCCTAGGTATAATCATGTCTTCAGCAACCCATGCTTGGCATAAAAGGTGACTATGCTTGTCGTAAAAGGCGACTAACAGGATCGGGTGGTCAGGCTTGCTGACATGGTTAATGCATATCATCGATCCCAATTGCGTGGATCGATGCTCATTATATTAATCACTGGATTGTCTGGTCCAGACTCCATTATTTACAGACCGCCGTCATATAGCTGGAATATTGTGGAGTGCGGCGTTAAACAACAAACCAAACCAAACCAAAACCTAAGGTATGATCATGTGATTTTCTTTTCTTTTTTAAAAAACACTAAAATTTTAACTCTGGATTGTCATCTATTCTCCAAGTCTCAGTCTTTGTGGACATTTGGAAGTTATAAATAAGACAAGACATATTGTAGATAAAAACTTCTTTATTGATATTTACATAAGAAAATTTTATTCATAACAATCTTTGCTTTATTATATTTTTGAATAGAAGGAGCCCAGGGAATCTCATCATGTTTAGAAGAAATCTAGACTTGCCAAATAATTGTAGACTTGCTTGGGATTTTATGGATTATTTTAACTCATTCACTATGGTATTTATCTAGAGAGGAGCTGTTTTTGTTTTGTTTAATAACAGCTTATAAGAAAACATTCTTGTACTGGTAGTAGGGCCGAGACGAGTCCAAATTTACTACCCGGGTACCCGCCACCCTATTACCCGGCCTTACCCAGATACCCGCTATAGGTCTCAAGAGTTGGGTACAAGAAATGTGAACATTAGCTGTACTTGTAGTGTAACCATTGAGTTTTATTGTTAATGTCATAAACAGTATGTCACGTGACTAACCACGGGTCTGGGTAGTCATGTGGGTACCCGTGTCCTACTCAGGACCCACCCGACCCGAGTACCCGAGTTACCCGTCCCATCCCTACCTGGTAGTTACTTCCCAGATTCTATTTGGGGCCGGACTAGTTGAAAAGAAGTGCCTGCATTTTAAGAAAGACAAGAAGTGTTAATAAACAAAATCGTTAAACCCTAAAACCGTCAAGCTGGAGAGCGTGATCATATAAAAGTACACAAGTTAGCTGCACTAGTCACACAACCTGCCGAACAGGTGGGAGAAGTGATTAATATTTCATTTCTAGTCGGCGATGAGAAAGTCCTGTATTGCTGGGTGTGTTGGTCACAGCGGCTGTTTACAGATATTTACCACAGTAACCACACTGGACTGAAACCAATTCCTTGGGTTGTATTTGTCGTTGCTGTGTGCGGAGTATTTTATCGTGCCGAGGACAGGCGACATGAGGCTGAAGGCGTTGAACATTAATTTGATTTCAGCAATGAAAACATCAAAATTGATTTCTTCAATGTTACTTGGGTCTCAAAATATTCGGATTGACATAATTCAATTTATCAAGCCCTCTGAGCTATTTTTTTCATGAACTGAAAACATCCAAATTGATTTCTTCTATTTTACTTGAGTATCCAAATATTTGGGATGACCAGGTTCAGTTTAAGCATTGATCCAGTTCACACTCACCAAATGTTTTGAAACAATATCTTATCTGTCTTTGAAAACAGTTCTCAGATCGAAGTTTTCACTTTCTCACAATCAGGTTAGGAATAGAGTTGAAATGACAGTTTATATATGAATTCACCACTGAACCATAGTATGTACCCTTGTCCCCTAATGAGTGAGTGAGTTTGGTTTTACGCCGCTTTTAGCAATATTCCAGCAATATCACAGGGGGACACCAGAAATGGGCTTCACACATTGCACCCATGTCGGGAATCGAACCCGGGTCTTCGGCATGACGAGCGAACGCTTTAACCACTAGGCTACCCGACCGCCCCTTGCCCCCTAATGAGTCGAATACAGTATTAGCTGTTGTTATTTAACAAATTATTTATGATTATCCAAAACCAATATTTCTATGAATAGTGAAACAATAGTTCAATGAATGATAAAAATAAACATAAAATACACATTCTACCTTGAACAACAGTGGCATCCATAATCTTAGTTAAGTGTCAGTATTTGTTAGTTACCTGTTAACTCGAATCAAGATGAGCTATAGTGTCATGGCACTTTTTAGATTTACTGTATTTGACGTAATAAGTGCCCAGGGCGCTCTCAAAATTAGAAATAGTGGGCTCTTATTAGAATATCATTTGGGTGAGAAAAAAAACAGAGTTGAAAGATGGTATATTTCGTGGTTTATGCTGACAGCCTGAAATGATACAAAAGAAAAGTCTGTGCATATTATACACGACAGATATATTTTCCAGAATTTATTTGCCCATAATTAAGGGTGCATATAACATACAAGTGCGTATTATACACGAATGAATAAGTCTTTGTACATTGACCAATCGGAAGGGTTGCTAATTGGGATTGTTCACTAACCAATATATTAGCAAATATCGCCCTGGGCGCTTGTTACAGGGAAAGCGGTACTTACTTAAAGATTTGACTGTTTAATGATTTGTAATCTTATGATGGTTTGTGAGGAATCATTATTAACTGACCAAAATAATTGAAGAAAATGGCCCCAAAATTCCTTGACACTAAGGAGTAATTGTTGTGGACCAGAACAAATTGATCTATCATTTTCACCACCATCACAGTACCGTCTATATTTCACTAGCATAAAGTTGTTGTGCAGATTACTGTTTTCAAAGAAGAAACAAAGATTAAAATACTCCCTCCAAATATATATATATATATATATATATATATATATATATATATATATATATATAATTGGAGGGGGTATCTATATAGGGACATATAATATTTATATAGGGATATATATATATATATATATATTTTAATGAGGGTAAAATAGGGAACACATGCATATTTGTCTCGGCCTAAGACAGAACAAGCCAGCCAGCCTAGTGTTGTGGGGTTGTGGCCTTCTATATCCCACTGGAATAGATGGTATATTATATTGAACAAAAAAAGTTAGGGATCTTGAGTATTCTTTGGATATTTTTATGATATTATGTGTATGGTCTCTACTACAAAAAAACCCCCAAAATATTCATGATCCCTTAACTTCAGTTTCACAACCAAAAAATACCCCCATCCCCCCAAAAAAAGAAAGAAAAAAAAAGAAAAGAAGAAATATTCATGATCCAGGATGCAGTGATGGACATCTCAAATATTCAAATATTCAACTTTTTTTGTTCAGAATGTCTTATTCTCTTGGTGTTTTTTTTTCAGATTCTGGGCTTTGATATCCTTCTGTTGAAGAACTTGAAGCCCATCCTCCTGGAGGTGAACGCCAACCCAAGCCTCAGCATCTTCGGGGAGCAGGAGGTGCTCCCGGGGGTGTTCGAGTGTGTGGAGAGTCTCAAGGACGAAGAAGTCAAGGTTCCTCTTGTCAAGGACACGTTCCTCCTCATTGCGCCCAAAAATAAATTCACACGTAAAAAGTAAGTCATAATTCTAAGTTGCCCATGTGCACTTAGGAGTTATTGAGTAAATGATCGTCTTGGACTGTGTCATCTGTGTCATTAACCAGATCATAATCTTCATCGTTGTCGTCATCATTATCTGCATCAGGGAAGAGGATTTATGGATGTCAGCTTCTATATTATGTAGTTGACAGCCATAAATTCTCTTCGTTATATGTATCACTTCTAAATGCCTTTCATAGACCTCATTATCTGCATCATTGTCTGTGTCATTAACTAGATCATTATCCAGTGATTGACATCATGAGCATCCATCCACACAATTGGGATCGATGACATGTATCAATCATGTCAGCGAGCCTGACCACCCGATCCTCTTCGTTGCTTCTTACAACAAGCATGGGTTGCTGAGGACTTATTCTAACCCGGAATTTTCACGGGACTATTTTGACAGTGAAGCCAAAGGATTTGCCTCCCAAAGCTGATTTTGCGACCGATGAGGTCTGTTTCGACTGGGTGCACTGGTTGTTTTGTAATACATGTCACTATCAACATTACATTATGGCAGATTCCAGATCTTCAGGGGTCTTATCTAGATTCGTCACTTTCTTCATCATCATGTAGATCATTATCTTCATCGTAATCTAGATCCTTATATTGTCCAGATAATTCTCTTCTACATAATCTTTAACACAATCTTCATCACCATCGTCATCATTTGCATCTTCTTCATCAGTTGCAGACAACACCGCAGACGGAGAAATGAAAACAACGCCAACAATCAGCAGAGACAGGGCGAGACGGCCATCATCATCAAGATGGAGGAGATGACCGTTGTCAAGGAGACCGCCATCAGGATCATGGACCCCAGCATGGAGGTTGACGACGGCGACAAGAAGGATGACAGCAATGACAAGAGTGCCGATGACAGTGACGCGAGAACGGACAGTGATGATCGAGGCACGGACTCAGATAACAAAATGGAGGAAGGTGACAGTGGGCGAGAAGAATACGACTCAGGAGAGGAAGGAGATGAAGAGGAGGAGGAGAAAGACGATGAAGACAAGGAGTCGTGTTTGAAGCGGATATATCCTGATGTCTATGGCACCCAGTTTGACTATCTGCGGCTGATGGAGAGACTCGCTACACTGTTCACAAAGTCATTAGGGGTGCGAGGAGCTCATCGGATAGGGTCAACAGCTTTCAGAATGTTTGCAAGGTAAATTTTCTTTTATCCTTTGTGAGTGAGTGAGTGTGGTTTTACACCACTTTTAGCAATATTCCAGCAAAATCACGGCGGGGGACACCAGAAATGGGCTTCACACGATGTACCCATGTCGGGAATCGAACCCGGGTCTTCGGCATGATGAACACGCTTTAACCACTAGGCTTCCTGACTGCCCCTCTTTTATCTTTAAGTGTGACTTGTCTGTCATAGATCATATGCTTATTAATAAGTGGAATTTTAGAACAAGAGTTGGATATGGCTTTGAAAAAAGTTGAAATCCATGAAGTCAATTCCGGACTTCAATATCATATTAAATCAGTTTTTGATAAGGATTAGATACTGAGCAAAAGTATGAAAAATTCACATTTTTAATAGGTTTTGATTCTTTTCTCAACTTTTTACTCAGGTATGAATTATTGTTTGTATCTTTTTGATTTTGGTTTTGGTTAAGTTAAAGTTTAAATAATGTTATCGTTCATGTACAATTTCAGAAAATGTCGTCTGAATCGCCGAGGAGTAACGAATGCATCCGTGGACATCCTGTACATAGATTATCAAAGGAAGTGGGAGTTTATGAACCCTGACCGTACATCAGGTAACTCAAAAGTCAAGGTCATTTGACTATTGAAGTTGTGGAAAACGTTAAATACATTATCAGGCCAAAATTTGGAATTGTTTGGCAACACATCTTACCATTATTCATCGTAAAATCTGATTGGAGGAACACCATCGTGTTAAACCCAGATGTCGGACCTGCCTTGATGTCATAATGTTGGTTCTGACATCACTTCCTTGCCTATAGATGTTGATCCTGTTGTCAATATTCATCTTCATTATTGAAAAGTGATTGAGTGAGTGAGTGAGTTGGGTGTAACGCCACTTTTAACAGTATTCCAGTTATATCACGACATGTCAGCATAATGTGGGAGGAAAGCCCGAAATGATTCAGGTCTCAGACGTTTACCACTTCGGTGAAACCCACGAGCACGGGTTTGGTGCTGATAAACCTAGAAACATAATTGGGGCGAACCGGGATCCAAACCGACAATCAAAGGTTTCTGGCGTGCCCAAGGTTCGCAACTCGGCACAGCGAATCGTGGCGCCTTAGACGACCCCCCTGCCACAAAAGAGATCTATTTGTCACATCAAAATATTTTGAATAAACATAGATTTTGATTGGTTGTGAACTTAGATACAAATAGTAACAAGCATCAACAATGGTGTTTATGGAATTTATGAGATATTCATGGAGTGAGTGAGTGAGTTGGGTTTATCCAATTTTTAGCAATATTCCACAAATAAGGCTTCACCATTGTAACCATCGAGGAATCGAACCCAAGCCTTCATCATCACAAGTGAACGCTTTAACCACTAGGGTAACTCATCATCCTGAGTTGTATGTGTTCCTGTCCACCTTGTCAACTACCATACACCCTACAGTTGTGTCATAGGCTTTAACTGTAATGTAATGGGAGTGTGTACTGCAGTCTGATTGGTTTATAAACATTGAAAGGGATTCGATCTTGGAAAGTTTTTTAACTTTTTACTTTGTATTAATACTTTTCTTGATGTTTTATCTTCTATTCCTCAAACCTACATTTGAAGAAAATGTATCATTCAGCTTGACAAACAGAATACCACCACACTAGTTCAATATTAAGTTTGATCAATATTCATCAGAACAACTTATGTTAAAGAGAGAGAATTTAGAGATGTCAACGTCTTTGTTAAGAGGTTCACAACGTTTCAGAATATATGGTAAATCTGGTAATATATCATGATGGTGAAAGCATATACTCCCGAAATGTTGTGTTCCTCACAATAAAGAAGTTGACATCCATAAATTCTCTCCCTCACGTGAAATTCTCTCTCTGAAAAGGGGGCTGTCGGGTAGCCTAGTGGTTAAAGCGTTCGCTCGTCACGCCGAAGACCCGGGTTCGATTCCCGACATGATTACAATGTGTTAAGCCCATTTCTGGTGTCCCCCGCCGTGATATTGCTGGAATATTGCTAAAAGCGGCGTAAAACCATATTCACTCACTCACTCTCTGAAAAGATTTAATGTCTGTCTCCAACATGTCTCAGTCAGCCCGGATGCAGTAATGGACATCTCTCTCTTGTCTGTATTTCAGGTTTGGGATTCCAGGGTTTCGTTGACGCCTGTTTCGAGATTTCCAGACGCAAGTTCTTCAAGACGAACCGTCGTGACATGTTGGAATCCTTCATCTGTTACTGTGAGGAGGGGCTGAACGAACATAAGCAGGAAGAGGAGGCGCTCCGACGCAGGTTCTCACGGCCACCACGACGCCTCCTCCGACGTCCTGTTCATTTGTTTCAGAGAGCCACAGTTACCTCCCTTGAAGAGGAGTCCGTCCATAGTGTGTATGAACACCCTCTTGTCAGGAGGAGTCTGACTTTTGCGAAATCCTCCGAGTTTAGCATGTTGATGAGCCAAAAGAGGAAGCAGACGTACAAACCCAAGCCATTAAGTCTGTACTCTTCTGATGATGACTGACTAGGCAGGGTGTGGCACTAACTTAAAGGAAGTCTTCAAGCGCTGTTGGAAATCTTCCAGTGTCTGAGCCCATTTTTTCACTTGTTGACATATTTTCTTCCTCAAAACCATATATTGTCAAAAGTGTTTGCAAGTGAAAACAGTACCTGTTAAAGTGTGATCGGTATGATGAAATATAAAAAAGAAAAGAAAATATATAAAAAGAAGCTGCTTGGAAAGTTTTTTGGAATTTCAAGTCAAAGAGTTATGTCCCTTTTCTTCCTCCAAACCATATATTGTCAAAATTGTTTACAAGTGGTAAGAGTACTTGTTAAAGTATGGCCGGTATGATGATATATGCAAACTTACAAGAGAAACTTTTTGGAAAGTTTCTTTGAATTCCATGTCAAAGAGTTGTTCCATTTCTTCCTCAAAACCGCATATTGTCAAATATAATTGCAAAAACATTTTTTGTGGTAACGGTACTTTTTAAGGATCAAACATAAAGATTTACTTAAAGAAACATGCTGTTTGGATAGATTCTTGGAATTGCAAGTCAAAGAGTAATGTCCCTTTTGTTATTTCTATACTGTGGGAGTTTTTCCTGCTGAAATACTAAGAAGAAAGGGGTTTTCTTTATATCCATTATATTCCACAAGTGTGACAGTTTGGGTTGGCAGTTTACTCTTGTCAAGAGATCATGTCAATCTACTGACATTGTTTCCTAATCAGATGTATTTATATGTACACATTTTGTTGATTTATTCCCTTGGAGAGTAATTCAGAAAGCTTCCTGTATCTCCTCCATCAGAGATATATGGTAGCCTCTGTGACCTATGATTAATTACTGTAAGTGCAATAAGTGGAATTTGTTTGACCAATGTGACATATTTATGGATGGACCAATTTCATAGATCAACTTTTATAAAGAAAAACAAAAAGACTGAAAATAAGTTTATATTATCCCCAACTTGCTATCTGCTCTCTTAAATATATTTGAAGACTATATTTTCTTTTTGGTAAAAAAAAAGTTGAAGTAGGTGGATAGTAAGTACAAGTGATTCAAGTTTAGGACAGACAACTGGTCTGACGGCACTTGAACAAAGGGAGATCACTCAATTGTGTACATATATCAAGGGAGATCACTCCAGCTTCTTCATCAAAGCTCCTCCCAGCAATAGCCTGTTCACAGAGCTCTCTATACTATCGCTGCTTCCAGTCCAAATTCCCCACTGTGATAGGTGGCCTCAACCATGCTTGGAGCTGAACTCGCAGCCCACTGACCTTTTCAAAATTCACTATGGTGGCATTCCCAAAGACATAAACAAAAGTATAAACGATACTACATTTGGGGTTAGAGGGCAAATTTCAAAAGTCTTGTAATGGCTGTGCCAACACTGGTGGCAGTGATGTTACCGAGAATGTAACGAAGGTGTCACGAGTTGGGAACAAGCTTGCTTCTACATCATGTCAAGGGAGATCACTCCCATTTCTATATAAAGTCTACACAAGGCTCTATCACAGTGGTAGTTTTAATTTTGATGAATATTTGTCAAAATGAGGCATCACGTGACTGGTATGGAAGCCATCTTCCTGCTGTTTTAACACAAGCCTGCTTGATTGGTGCTCCAAGATTTCCTTTAAGTTAGGTTTTATGCATATGGTCCATTTCAATACTAAGTCTTTGTCTGAGCCCACATTAAGCTGACATGCAGTGATATAACTGGAATACTGTTAAAAGCGGTGTTAAACCCAACACACTCACACCACACAACTGGACAAAAGAACAGGATATATATGCCTGGCTCCCAGGCACTCCTGTCATCAAAGTGATCTGAAACTTCTTTGAGAACACAGCCCCAGTGGACACAGATGCCATGCCATTATTTTGGAGTAGGAGTAAGGATTCATCGATTCATATTGAATTGTGATGTTTGAAATAGGGATGTATGAATAGAATCACTTGAGGATTCATCCTAGTCTCCCCTTTATTCACATGAAAGTTCACAAAAACAGATACAAGGTCTTTTGACAAATGAACAATCAGGATGATATAGTTCATAATGCAACAGGGTGATAATATGGACATGGCGCAATAAGTGTTGCTTGTGCCCTTTCCCACTGTGCTTTTGGATAATTAAATATGTCAAAACTCATGACCAATACTGTCAAAAATCTTCATTACAGTATCATGTTTCTCAACATTGAAGTTGGACCAGAAAATATATGTTTATACTCATTACCAATACTGTCAAAACAATCTTCCGATTCTTTTGAATCTGTTTGTTTGAAGTCCCCATCCATGAAGCATCCTTGTCCGTAACCATGGTAACCAGACTTTCACCATGGAATACAGGTTTTTGAGTCTAATATGCATTCTTCCTTGTACAACTTTCATCTAAGCCATCTTTGGTATTGATTTATTACTTGTATAAATGTGTTTATATGTTATCTGCTGCAGCAGTGAGGGTCAATGTACTGTATATATTGATTTAAACACGCTATACCAGGGTAATATCGACACAAGAAGTGATAATGAAGGCTTGTTCCTGACAATCAGGCTGGGTCGACCTTTTTCCCCATGGTCAACACATAGTCTCCATCTGTGACAGGTATTAATACCAGAGGCGGATCAGGTTTATAAAAATGAGGTGGGGGTTACAAGATATAGGTATTTTGGACTGGGTAAAGGTCAGTTTTGGTCCATATGGTTTGTTTTTTTCAAAGGGGGTCACGATCTGATAAAGACCTTGTCTGAACAGGAATGGGTTTTTTCCCAAATTAATGAACCACCTGCTAAAAGAAAAAGAAGGTGCTTAACACAAGTAAGTACTATACTTAGTCACTGATTGTGTTGTTTCAAAATGGTAATTTGGGGAAAAGATCTATTAAATGTGATGAAATTGGCGTGGTCTTATTATACAAGATTAAGTTAATAAAATTCAATTCTCAAGCAGTATACTGATAAAACTTTAAATTTGAAGTAAATTTATCCTTTTATAAGCAAGCCTAAACCATAATGTTGTGTATGGCCTGGACTGACTTGTTGGGACTGAAAGTGCTCACCTATAAAAGGATTAATTGAATCCAAGTTAAATATATAGACCAATGAACCAACCCATATCTGTTTTGGGTGTTACCTGAAACACAAGACATGTTTTTTCCCAGTTGTGATGCGTAACAACCAATGGTTTGATTGAACTAGTGCATTTCCAGACAAGCAAAGTGTTGTCTGGATAACTGAGGTCCCTGTCCCAGCCTGATTGACAGAGATGAGCCCCCCTTTAAATGTGTACATACAGCGTTGCTCCACCTTAACATGCACAGTATTCACAGAACTAGCGCATTTCCAGACAAGCAAAGTGTTGTCTGGATAACTGAGGTCCCTGTCCCAGCCTAATTGACAGAGATGAGCCCCCCCCTTAAATGTGTACATACAGCGTAGCTAGCTCCACCTTTACATGCACAGTATTCACAGAACTAGTGCATTTCCAGACAAGCAATGTGTTGTCTGGATAACTGAGGTCCCTGTCCCAGCCTAATTGACAGAGATGAGCCTCCCTTTAAATGTGTACATACAGCGTAGCTAGCTCCACCTTAACATGCACAGTATTCTGTTGAATCATGTCACCAGTATTTGGATATATTTTTCATATGAGTGTTATGCTCAATACTATTCTACCTTGCTCAACTGTTCACAGCTGTGATATTGTCAAGCTTTCGCGTGATATGTGTCGGTGATCATCAAGCCTTTTATTGATGTGTTGATATTGTCAAGCCTGTGTGTGTTGTGTATATGCGACATTATCAAGCCTGTGTGTGATGTGTGGCTGCGGTAGTTATTTCTCACTAGCATGTATTTTCATGTAACCATACAGCCACAAAACAAATACTACCTATCTTTACAATATGGAAGTAACGCAGTGTGGAGCTTGAGAAAGATACTGTGCACAGTTATTTCCCCTTATTGTAACCATGACAACATGTTGATTTTAGAAAACATGCATTCTGAGTTCCAATTTGAGTAACTCTGACTTTGAACAATATATAAGGATGTGACAATTCCAGTTGTGGTCTAATTATTTCTTAGAGGAAATGTCAATTGTTCAAATTTTAACAAAAACCTAAAATATTTAGTTTTAGTTGTGTATGTGAATTGCATTATCATAACATTCCCCTTTAGTTGCTCAAATCATTCATGTGCCAAACAAAGATTGTTGACATAGATTGTAAATAACAATTAACATTCTTAAGGCAAGTAAAGATTGCACGAAAGGTGACCTTGGCTATTAAGAAGTTGCATATAATTATTACGTCTTGAGGAAATATGAGAAGCCATTTGTACAGGTCCAATATTTTGTGAAAAGTGTTTTAATTATCTTAAAACTATTGATTGTGTATTTTAAAAGTTAAAGCAAAATATTTGAGAAATGGCTCTGACATTTTGAGTCTGGGAAGCCATTTTTTGATAGTTAAATTATATGTTGATTTGATGAATCGATGTATGAATGAGTAATGAATATGGTTTGTGATGGTGTTAAGAATGGTAATGAAAAGGTCTTTTAGAATTAGAAAATTGAACATTCATTGCCTGGTGTATTTATGAATACTGATTAGTGATAAACCTTATTGAGAATATTAACAGCATTTCACAGCATATCAACTTACACCAGAAGATTGAACCTACAGATATAAACACATGCTTTGTAAACGTGTGAAGATATTTGCATATCCTATCAAGCATTCCTTACATTCCATGGTTAGAATATTATTTCATTATATCAGGCCATAATAAGTTAATTCTTGACAGAAAATGCAGAAAATGGTGTGTTGCCTTTGATCTGATTGATGAAATATGACATATGTCAATTCTCTATCCACTAAAGTTTGTTTCAAGGCATCAATAGTGGTTATATGACCGTGGTTGCTGTAAATAACGGTAAGATGTGCGATCTTCCAATCACTTCACATACGAGTTCGTCAAAATGAAGGGAAACAAAGAAAATGTTGAATGAAATTTTGAATAAAATTAATAAAGTAGATTACAAACATAAGTCCAGATATATAAAAAATTCTTTTTATAACCAGTCAGTGTAAATACATGATTAGTTTGCATACTTCAGTACGGATTTGTTGACATGGTATTTTCGGCGTTATGTTCTCACAGTAATGTTTTGGGGAAAAAAACATCAAAACTCTTCAACCTTCAGCCCCCACTTGAAAGCCCCCTCATTCTAGGTACGAAAAACTTGCCTTATACACAGCGATATACGGCAGTCCTACCAAGCATGCCGACTTGATGTACACAGATATTTAAACATTTTGTTTGAAAAAAAACAGAATTCTCCCTCCTCTCCTTTTCGAAAGATTTGATAAAAACCTAATAATGAATTCATTGTAGCCGAATAGAGTGAGTATTGTTTTACGCCGCTTTTAGCAATATTCCAGCAATATCACGGCAGGGGACACCAGAAATGGGCTTCACACATTGTACCCATGTCGGGAATCGAAACCGGGTCTTTGGCGTGATGAGTGAATGCTTTAACCACTAGGCTGACCCGTCATCCAGTAGCCTAAAAGAACATACACATGACGTTGACTGTTTTCAGATCAGGTTAGAATAGGTCATCAGAAACCCATGCTTGTCGTAAGAGGCGACTAATGGGATCTGGTGGTCAGTAGACTTGGTTAATGCATGTCATCGTATCCCAATTGCGTAGACCGATGCACATGTTGTCATTCACTGGACTGTCTGGTCCAGACTCGATTATTTAAAGACGACTGTCTTATAGCTTAAAAATTGCTGAGAGCGACGTTACAAACCAGCAGCCTGAACCTACAGTCTGTTTGCTGCAATGTCATACCCATGAAATGCAAAAGAGATATAAATCCATAAGCAACAATTCGTTTTAAATGGCGTGAAAGTTGTTTATTGTCCATACCAACTTGTCACTATAATTTCAGATATTGTCATGAAGTAGATAAAAAGTTGTTTAACAAACCCCCTTGTAATAACAGGCATTGAAACATCAACAATTACATGATAGTTTGTTAAATAACTTTGTTTTCCATTTGTGATGACCACTTTAATGTTAGATACAGTTTGAATAAGACAGCCATGACATCTGTACATCATTTCGTGTGATATAAACTGTTTACAGAGTTAGTATTTACCAATCCTCCGTGAAAGTATATGCTATGCATTGTATTTTTATATGACTTTTATATACCTTACATTGCACATTCCGAAGTATTGGATAAGTGTTTTATGCATTAACTTATTTTTAATTGCATAGATGAATGATTAATTGTTATTCAAAAAGAAAGCCTCTAAGTGGCTGACCAATTAATATTCTGGAGACCAGGGTGCCATTGTACAAAACAACCTTAGCGCTACGTCTGTCGTAAGTCTGTGTTAAGGTATGGGAGTTATGATCACCTTAGCGCTAAGATCGCTTTGTACAACGGCACCCTGGGACTTTTTGGACAAACAATCTGTACACGAAAATAATAGCAAAAGTAATTCCTTCAGTAAAAAATATAAGACAAAAATTGTTCACTAGACATGCTCAAACAAAAATCCTAGCCACATATTTGACTGTGAGAAGTGCTATGTGTTTGACTACATGATTTATGTGTCTTGTTTTGTTATAAGTTGTTGACAGTTGTTATAACTGTTGTTAGAGATAGTGTTTTTTGATATCATTTGCCTCACAGCCATTTGTCCTCTACAGACAGCCATACATTACAGGAGGCCCTTATGGGGATCCATACATTACAGGAGGCCCTTACAGACACCCATACATTACAGGAGGCCCTTTTAGGGATCCAAACATTACAGGGGGCCCTTATAGGGATCCATACATTACAGGAGGCCCTTACAGACACCCATACATTACAGGAGGCCCTTTTAGGGATCCAAACATTACAGGGGGCCCTTATAGGGATCCATACATTACAGGAGGCCCTTACAGACACCAATACATTACAGGAGGCCCTTTTAGGGATCCAAACATTACAGGGGGCCCTTATAGGGATCCATACATTACAGGAGGCCCTTACAGACACCCATACATTACAGGAGGCCCTTTTAGGGATCCAAACATTACAGGGGGCCCTTATAGGGATCCATACATTACAGGAGGCCCCTACATACACCCATACATTACAGGAAGCACCTACAAACACCCATACATGAAAGGAGGGCCTTACAGACACCCATACATTACAGGAAGCACCTACAGTCAACCATACATAACAGGAGGCCATGCAGACACCCATACATTACAGGAGGCCCTTATAGAGATCCATACACTAGAGACCTTTACCCACAAGGCCAACTGATGCTCTGATTGCCCTTTTTGTGTTTGTTTTTTGTCCCCTTTCCTACTGAAAAAGTCTGTGATTCAAGTAATAGAGAAGGGTTGGCCCAACTGATATGCTGGACTCTGTGAGTCCCCATCATTGAGTAGCTAATCTACCTTTACAGTTTACGATCAACAAATAATTATGATCATTTTGAAATACTTTAACTAAAGAAACCAACTGAACTGAACATAGCGATGGAAGGATTAGGTGTATTATTGCATGTAATTACAATATCAAGTGATCACTGCTCGGACATGCACCGTTCGGAAGATAAAGCCTCACCAGACTGGGATCAGATTTCTGCTTATTGCTCACACATGAACTTTTTACAACCTCTTTGGCAATGTTGTAGAAGCAATGGCTTCATGAAAACACCAGGCCCAGTTAAGGTGGTATTTATTTCATGTTGCCATCTGTTGTTCGTCTTGTCAAGTGTTTATCAGGTCCATGCATGGCAAGGGCAGGTAACTCTAACAGTAACAGTGACAGTTAATTTGACAGCATTCTGTAAATAGTGCAAAAGCCAAACCTTACCCCCCTGCTCCCTGCCACAAAAGTCCTTATCATGTTGTTATATCTAATAACGTCTTATCTCAAAATTTACATTGACATTTAACTCCTCCTTCTATCCTGACTGCTCGGGAAAGACTTAAATCGCCAAAAGAAAACAGACAGCATTTTTTCCAGACACAAAGAAGAAAGAAAAAGAATAAGAAAATAATGGTAAGAAGCTTGATTCATTAACTGATTTTTTTATTTAATGATTTTATTTATATATTTTTTATATTTTGGGGGATAATCTGTAAAATAAGCTATTAAGCTTGTCATACCTGCAATTGAGTTACCTTTGTCATGAAACACAACACAAATACCTACAAATGGCTGGGGGGTAACAGAAAGGAGTGGTCTCTATTTCCCCAGTATCTTCAGTCAGTATTACACACCTGCTTCCATCAGATAGAGGCTTGTTATCACATGCGTTACACAAGACTGAGGCTTGTTATCACATTGGTTACACAAGACTGAGGCTTGTTATCACATGGATTATACAAGATAGAGGCTTGTTATCAAATGGGAAATACAGAGTAGAGTCTTGTTATCACATGAGTTGTACAAGGCAGGATTGTTATCACATGGTTATACAATATGGAGGCTTGTTATCACATGAGTTATACAAGATAGAGGCTTGTTATCACATGGTTATACATCATTATCATGGTGCAATATTTGCGAATAAAGGCTTGCTGATACCTACATTGTGCTTGTGTTCAGTTTATGAATGAGTGAGTCAGTGTGTTGGGTAGAACACTGTTATGAATTGTAATTCACTTATATCAAGTCAGCTTGATATGGGAGGAATGCCTGAAGTGATGCAGGTTCGTACGTTTACGAACACAACTGGCTCCGTGTTGGAGGAAAGCTCAAAGCGATGCTGGTCATAGAATCTGGGTTTGAACACACTGTTAGCAGATCTTGGTGCATCTATGCGAGACCATACTTGTAGTCTTAAGTGCCATCCTCTTTAATCCAGGACTATGTTTTGCATGTTAAGAGGTGAGGTGAAATGGGGTTTAACGTCGCGTCCAAGATTATTGCACTTATATAGTGACGTGCATGCACTTGTGTGTGTGTGTAGCTGCTTGTACTAGTCCGGACTGATGCCGATTTATAGTGCTAGCTCACTGAGATACCATGCCCCAGTTTAACATGAATACCCCACTCAGACACAGTATACTGACTCCGAGCCGACCAGTCCTTGTTTTATCCCCTTAATGCTGAGCGCCAGACAGGGTAACAACAAGTACCACCTTTTAACGTCTTTTGGTATGATGCAGTCGGGGATCGAACTCCGGACCTTCCGCTCTCCGGGCGGACGCTCTACCACTAGACCACGTAGGTGGTCTGCATGTTAAGAGTTCCCGAGAAAAACACAGTCTCAAGTCTGTCTCATCTAAGTTGCATTGTCTGATTATTTAGAGCCTGGGATATTTCTGGAATTTTGCTGAGTGCGGCGTTAAACAACAAACACAATGTAACCAGGTGAAACTCTTGTAAGTCAGTCCTTGACTGAGTGAGTGTCGAAGTTAGTAAGGTCTATCACGCGGCCTGTATGTATTCAAGTCTGACAAACCTGTGGTTGAAAATAAGAACAATGATCCACGACATCAGGACACGAGGACACACACACCAAGCATGACCAGCTCATCCAATTTTGTCTCTTTTTATGACAAGAAATAGGTGCTGGGCTTCTATTCAAACCCTGGGGCGGTCGGGTAGCCTAGTGGTTGAAGCGTTCGCTCGTCACGCCTAAGACCCGGGTTCGATTCCCGACATGGGTACAATGTGTGAAGCCCATTTCTGGTGTTCCCCTGCCATGATATTGCTGGAATAGCGCTAAAAGCGGCGTAAAATCATACTCACTCACTCACCCACTCTATTTAAACCCAGAATCCCCACGAGGTTGCCAGCACATGATATACATGGCATACTTGGGATTTGTCCTGCACTGGCCTTTAGAAATGTCCTGTCAAGGTGAAGGTCAAGGTGAAGGTCAGGGTGAAGGTCAAGGTGAAGTCCTACAATGAGACCACTTCTCCGCATTTACAGCAACAGACACAAGAAAGTATGAATATTTGGTTTTATTTCATATTTTATACATCATTATACAAAGTGTGGAAACATTTAGCACTTTACTCTTGCACGAAGTCTTCTGGTCTGCTGACAGAGCATCACTGACAACATTGTTTAAGTACAGTGTTCGCCTAACTGAGTGACTTGGGTTTATCACTGCTGTATTTCGTTACATCACGGGTCGTCGTCGCACAGGTAGTAGGCCTTTCCCACATTGATGGAACCCTTGAACACAAGTATGGATCTGACAGGTCAAGGTGTCATAAGAAGGTCCACGCTAGGAGGTACACACACAACCAGCAGTTCCTGCCAGAGGGAAGGGAAGCTGCAACTCCGCACTCATCATGTAATAACTGGTATGTAGTGCTCCTGTTATCTGATCTGTTGCATATTGACACTTCTTCCATGAGCTTCATTATACAACTACATGTACTTCAGTGGGTTAGCATCATAAAATCGACATTAGTCCAGACTAGTACAAGCAGCCACACACACACACGTCACTGTAGTCTGGAAGGTAAATTAAGGTACCGATGTTTACTACAATATCTGAAAAACTATTGGACCTACTCCAGTCAAAGTTGGTATGAGATTATTAAACAGTCATACATAACTGGATATTACATTTAAAGACGATCGGTGCATGAATAAAAAGTCTGTCTATTTAGCTATCACTATATTTCATCAACAACCAGACCTGTTCGTCACGGGTGGAACGAGCATTCATTGTAACAGCCATCTGCATAACGCTACCCCTGCGTCACAGGGCCATATGACACAGTTGAACCAATCAACTCAACTCGAAAGGGTGCACGGGAATCACGCATGTTGAGATGCCCAACGCTAACACCATATTCATGCGTGCATGATTCCCAGGTCAGATATTGTAGTAAACGTCGGTACCTTAAATTACCTTCCAGACTATATGCAAGTGCAATAATCTTGAATGCAGCGTTAAACCCCACTTCCCCTCACCTCATTATACAACACTTCTAGTGGGGTGCACAAGTACTTCGTAGACTAATTCCAGCCCTACTTTTCAACTCTGACTGTTTCGTTCCTTTGTTCAAACAAATGACTTTGATAGGAACTCATGGCATCCAGTGTGACATATCCCTTTGTGAGATCCATTAATAATCATCAAGAGCCCTAAGTCTGGATATTTTATTGTCTGGTTGTCCTTTATGATCCGTTGCATTATCTATTTGGCTTGAACTGTTTTGACCTTTGCAGCACAGATAACCTTGACCTACAACTAGAAAGGTTATTGCGAGGTCATGATGGTGAAAAGGTCACGGTATAATGTTTTTGAAGCACTGTTATTGGTCAGAAGTGACAGGATCTTTGAACTGACAGCCCTGGGGAATGTTTCACTGTTGATTGGTGGACTGGTCAAAGAAGCGTTGGTACAGGTGCCCAATCTTGTTGATGTTGGAGTGGATGATGGACCGGACTACCTCAGTGTACTTGGCATCACATACTGGCAACAGAAGACAGACTCAGGTCACTGGTGGGGGCAGAAGCTCTGTCGGGGGTGGGATCAGAGGTGATGTGGGTGGTATCAGAGGTGATGTATGTGGGTGGGATCAGAGGTGATGTGGGTGGGATTAGAGGTGATGTGGGTGGGATCAGAGGTGATATGGGGTGGGATCAGAGGTGATGTGGGTGGGATCAGAGGTGATATGGGGTGGGATCAGAGGTGACGTGGGTGGTATCAGGTGATGTGGGTGGGATCAGAGGTGATGTGGGTGGGATCAGAGGTGATATGGGGTGGGATCAGAGGTGATGTGGGTGGGATCAGAGGTGATGTGGGTGGGATTAGAGGTGATGTGGGTGGGATCAGAGGTGATATGGGGTGGGATCAGAGGTGATGTGGGTGGGATCAGAGGTGATGTGGGTGGGATAAGAGGTGATGTGGGTGGGATAAGAGGTGATGTGGGTGGGATCAGAGGTGATGTGGGTGGGATTAGAGGTGATGTGGGTGGGATCAGAGGTGATATGGGGTGGGATCAGGGGTGATGTGGGTGGTATCAGAGGTGATGTGGGTGGGAACAGAGGTGATGTGGGTGGGATCAGAAGTGATGTGGGTGGGATCAGAGGTGATGTGGTTGGGAAAACAGATGATGTGGGTGGGATCAGAGGTGATGTGGGTGGGAACAGAGGTGATGTGGGTGGGTTCAGAAGTGATGTGGGTGGGATCAGAGGTGATGTGGGTGGGATCAGAGGTGATGTGGGTGGGATCAGAGGTGATGTGGGTGGGATCAGAGGTGATGTCGGTTGACAATAGGAGTAATGCTGGGGTGGAAGTGATGGTGTGGTGACAGAGACACAGAAACAGGACATTTTTACATCCTTACAATTGGGATACGATGACATGCATTAACCAAGTCAGCAAGCCTGACCACCCGATCCCGTTTGTCGCCTCTTACAACAAGCATAGTTGCCTTTTACAGCAAGCATGGGTTGCTGAAGACCTATTCTACCCTGGATCTTCATGGGTCCAGAGACAGAACATGATTCATTACCTACGTGCAATTGCTCAGTGCTTTGTTTTGCACACAGAGACAGGACATGATTCATTTACTATGTGCAAAACAAAGCACTGAGTCTAGAGTGGGTTTGCCACTATCCAACTCATTAAAATCAGACCTTAGTTCTCGTGACCACCAAAGATCTGAGAACTTCCTTTTACATGTCACGTCAGAAAAACCTTTCATCCGACCAAGCGACCAAGCATTGCTCACCAGATCTTGAAAGAAACAGTCAGAATGTGTTTTCTAATCATGCAACGTCGAAATGGTTAACATTGGCTATTCCAAACGACAGATGGGATAAATATCTGAAACGGAAAGGACTTTTCATCTCCTGTGAGCAGTACTGCCATATGATCCCAGCCATCTATTTGTCATTCCAGAACTTTCTTTTGTTCAGTTTTCAAAATTTGAATTGATATTTTTCAAAGCATAGCCTGTAAAGGAAACTAGTGTCGTAAAGCTCAAGAAAGCTGCTTTCTGATTGGCCAATGTTGACTTCTTGTAAGTCATTTCATTGGTCGGTCAAAGTTAGCGAAAGGTTGTTCTAACGTGACCTGTAATCGGATGTCCTCAGAACTTTGTTAAGCGGCAGTGAGCACTAAGATCGGATTTGAAAGAGATTGGCCACTATCAGGACATTCAAACATCCTTACCTCGGTTCTCTAAATCTTTCCTTGTGATAGTAGGGGGATTCTCCTGCAAGAAGACAAGACAAAGTGGTCACATTGGGAGGTTTGTAACAGTGCTTGTGTCATGACTGGCCAACACAAAGCAGCATAGAAACTCCAATAAAATACATACATGGAAGTCATTTAAAACATCTCTGTGTCCTAGAATGAGGTGAGGTGTGGTGAGGTGAAATGGGGTTTAACGTCTCGTTCAAGGTTATTGCACTTATGCAGCGATGTGCATGCATGCAAGTGAGTGCGTGCGTGCGTCTCTGCTTGTACTAGTCCAGACTAATGCCGATTTTATAGTGCCAACCCACTGAGATACCATGCCTCAGTTTTAACATGAAACTCTGGCACAGAATGCTGACTCTGAGCCGCCCAGTCCTTGTTTTAGCCCCTTAATGCCAAGCACCAGGGCAGGGTAACAACAAGTACCATCTTTTTACCTTCTTTTGGTATGACGCGGCCAGGGATCGAACCCTGGGCCTTCCGCTCTCCGGGCGGACGCTCTACCACTAGACCACGGAGGCGGTCATAGGACCAGTATTCTTACCCGGAATCCCCACGGTCCCAGACTTCAAGGAGACAACTCACCTTGATGTACCTCCATATTGCAATGAGAAGCAGATAGCCTTCATATGGTGTGACAAAGTGGAACAAGTCCACCACGTGGCCGAGTGGGGAGGGCAGCATCTTGCTCTGTGGAGTAGAAACATGTTCACACTGAGATACATCTACCTCTTCTATCATTGCATACTTCTATCATTGCATACTTATGTCATTCACTCTGAAAACATCTGCACAACTTGAAGGGTACACACAAACAAGTCCATAGCTAATATCAGACTTGTGGTTTATAGTCGGTCCTCTTACAACAAGCACAGTCAGACCTCTTACAACAAGCACAGTCGGACCTCTTACAACATGCACAGTCAGTCCTCTTACAACAAGCACAGTCAGACCTCTTACAACAAGCACAGTCGGACCTCTTACAACAAGCACAGTCAGACCTCTTACAACAAGCACAGTCAGACCTCTTACAACAAGCACAGTCAGTCCTCTTACAACAGGCACAGTCAGTCCTCTTACAACAAGCAGAGTCAGACCTCTTACAACAAGCACAGTCAGACCTCTTACAACAAGCACAGTCAGACCTTTTACAACAAGCACAGTCAGACCTCTTACAACAAGCACAGTCAGACCTCTTACAACAAGCACAGTCACTCCTCTTACAACAAGCACAGTCAGACCTCTTACAACAAGCACAGTCGGACCTCTTACAACATGCACAGTCAGTCCTCTTACAACAAGCACAGTCAGACCTCTTACAACAAGCACAGTCGGACCTCTTACAACAAGCACAGTCAGACCTCTTACAACAAGCACAGTCAGACCTCTTACAACAAGCACAGTCAGACCTCTTACAACAAGCATAGTCAGTCCTCTTATGACAAGCACAGTCAGACCTCTTACAACAAGCAGTCAGTCCTCTTACAACAAGCATAGTCGGACCTCTGACAACAAGCACAGTCAGACCTCTTACAACAAGCAGTCAGTCCTCTTACAACAAGCATAGTCGGACTTCTTACAACAAGCACAGTCAGACCTCTTACAACAAGCAGTCAGTCCTCTTACAACAGGCACAGTTAGACCTCTTACAACAAGCACAGTCAGACCTCTTACAACAAGCATAGTCGGACCTCTTACAACAAGCACAGTCAGACCTCTTACAACAAGCACAGTCGGACCTCTTACAACAAGCACAGTCGGACCTCTTACAACAAGCACAGTCAGTCCTCTTACAACAAGCACAGTCAGTCCTCTTACAACAAGCACAGTCAGTCCTCTTACAACAAGCACATTTGGACCTCTTACAACAAGCACAGTCAGACCTCTTACAACAAGCATAGTCAGTCCTCTTACAACAAGCAGTCAGTCCTCTTACAACAAGCACAGTCGGACCTCTTACAACAAGCACAGTCGGACCTCTTACAACATGCACAGTCAGACCTCTTACAACAAGCATAGTCAGTCCTCTTATGACAAGTATAGTCAGTCCTCTTACAACAAGCACAGTCGGACCTCTTACAACAAGCACAGTCAGACCTCTTACAACAAGCACAGTCAGTCCTCTTACAACAGGCACAGTCAGTCCTCTTACAACAAGCACAGTCAGTCCTCTTACAACAAGCACAGTCAGTCCTCTTACAACAAGCACAGTCAGACCTCTTACAACAAGCACAGTCAGTCCTCTTACAACAAGCACAGTCAGACCTCTTACCTCTTACAACAAGCACAGTCAGTCCTCTTACAACAAGCACAGTCAGTCCTCTTACAACATGCACAGTCAGTCCTCTTACAACATGCACAGTCAGTCCTCTTACAACAAGCACAGTCAGTCCTCTTACAACATGCACAGTCAGACCTCTTACCTCTTACAACAAGCACAGTCAGTCCTCTTACAACAAGCACAGTCAGTCCTCTTACAACATGCACAGTCAGTCCTCTTACAACATGCACAGTCAGTCCTCTTACAACATGCACAGTCAGTCCTCTTACAACAAGCACAGTCAGACCTCTTACAACAAGCACAGTCAGTCCTCTTACAACATGCACAGTCAGTCCTCTTACAACATGCACAGTCAGTCCTCTTACAACATGCACAGTCAGTCCTCTTACAACAAGCACAGTCAGACCTCTTACAACAAGCACAGTTAGACCTCTTACCTCTTACAACAAGCACAGTCAGACCTCTTACCTCTTACAACATGCACAGTCAGTCCTCTTACAACAAGCATAGTCAGTCCTCTTACAACATGCACAGTCAGACCTCTTACGACATGCACAGTCAGACCTCTTACCTCTTACAACAAGCACAGTCAGTCCTCTTACGACAAGCAGTCAGTCCTCTTACGACAAGCAGTCAGTCCTCTTACGACAAGCAAGGTGGGTCATCTTACGACAAGCATATAAACGGTCCTCTTACGACAAGCAGTCAGTCCTCTTACGACACGCACAGTCGGACCTCTTACAACAAGCATAGTTAGACCTTTTACAACAAGCATATTCGGTCCTCCTACAACAAGCACAGTCTGGCCTCATTCAACAAGCAGTCAGTCCTCTTACGACAAGCCAGGTGGGTCATCTTACGACACGCATAGTCAGTCCTCTTACAACAAGCACAGTCAGTCCTCTTACAACAAGCACAGTCAGACCTCTTACAACAAGCATAGCAACGGTCCATGCTACCAGGATATACAGACAATCAAAGTCACCGAGTCTGACCACCCAATCATTTAGTCACCTCTTTCAAACAAATATAGGTTGCTGGGGACTTATTCTAATCTGGAATCCAAATGGGGGATCATAAATATACTAAAAGTACTAGGAAAGGCCTGAACTGACCCTCCCGAGACACTGGACAAGACAGCAGGCTGCATCATAATACTGGGGGCAGTTCCTCATTGCCTTCTCACGGCAGTTGTCGTAGTGATTCAGGACAGTTCCCATAATGCATCTCAACACTGGCGACAGGAAGCAGATGACACTGGAACCTGGACAAGACACATGACCTCATCAGTGCTCAGTATTACATAACAGACACAAATTCCTGTTTCATCACAGACATAAATTCCTGTTAAGGCTGTCGATCACACTAAAAAATATTTTCAATCTTAATGAAAGAAGTGAGAATTTTCTAAATGACAACTCTTTATTATCTATCTATCAGTGAAATGAAGATCAAGTTATAAGATGATCAAAAGTAATCGTCAAATGGGCACCCTCTAAATTCCATGGGGCACAGCTTAACACTAAGGAGAGTCTGGTGCCCTTCACAAATGTTTCTATCCCTGTACTCACTGTGCGAGAAGGCGGAGAAGATGCTCCACAGGACCGGGTGTTCCTCCATCTGCCGCCACACCTGCAGGTCCCTGGGGGAGGGGCCGGAAAGAGAGTGAGTGAGTGATTGAGTATGGCTTACGCCGCTTTTAGCAATATTCCAGCAATATCATGGCAGGGAACACCAGAAATGGTGTCTTATCTTATCTTAAATACGTTCCTTGGCCTACCTCTCGAGTGAGATCCTAAGAAACTCCTCCTCTGGCCAGTGTGTGTCGTTGTACAACATATCGGGGGTGGCCCGCTCCACCAACACACTGCTCAGCATCCGCGCTGCCACCTCGTCGATGTTCTGACTTCTTGTCTCCTTCACTTCCGTTTCCATGGAGTCGTACAAACTGTCGTCCCTAGCAACAATTTCTTGGCAACAGATGAGCAGAGCGTCAACAAGACTCTGAACATTGCGAGAAATTTGCTCCTGGAAATAAATAAATAACAGCATGGTCACGATAACTTACAAGGACTTCCAGTCCCATGACCTACCTTGTCTTTTAAATATGTACATTAAATTGTGGTCTGAAGTAATTTTAGTAAAATCTAAATATTTTTTACATTTGTATACTTATCCTGCATTACTCCGTATTGCATTTACTGCTATGTTTGACAGAGAGACGAACTGTGTGAGATCCAGCTGCTGAAGAAAGTTGTCCCAACCAGCCCAGGAGGCAGCGCCCTCTCACAGTCGGCACGTGACCCGGAAGTCATGACGTCACACCAAAAGACATAACTGCTTTAAACATAACATCTGAAACTTCGTGGGGAGGTAGCGTAGCGAAAGGGAGGGAACTTAGACTTCGTAATGCAGGATAAGTATACAAATGTAAAAAATATTTAGATTTTACTAAATTTTTTAACTTATCCTGCATTACTCCGTATTGCATCTTTATCAGACGGCTTGGCCGGTGGGCATACTTGCAGATGTGAACCATATTAAACCCTCGTCAAGGTCCGATGAATCCGCACCGCATACAAGTGATGACCGGAACATCTACGACCATTCCTGTCTTCAGGAAACAAGAGTCGATGCAAAAACGAAACGCCCGAATAGGTAACCGAAATACAATGAGGCGTGTAGCCAAAATATATAACTTACTGAAGAGCGAAAGCGAAACGCAGTAGAACCTAGAGCTAATCTGAGGTGATAAACACCAGAGAGTTCGACGGGCCCCGCTCGGGGAATCGAAGAATCAGCGGCGTCGGCGGCAAAATCTACGACCAATCCCAAGAGCGAATGCGAAACGCAGGAGAGCCCTCTAGGCTGGAGGCAAGGAACACCGGTGAGGTCGACGGGCACCGCTCAGGTACCAGAGAAGCAGCGGCGTTGGCGTCGGCGCCGGTGTCCACATCTACTACCATTCCTGTCGTCAGGAAACGAGAGTTGATGCAAAAAGTAAAACCCGGATAGGTGACAGCAATAGAATGAGTCGGGTAACCCAAAACTAAAACTGACCTAAGAGCGAATGCGGAACGCAAGAGAGCCGTCTCGTCTGGGGTGATAAACACCAGAAAGGTCGACGGGCCCCGCTCAGGGTATCGGAGAATCAGTGGCGTCGGAGATAGATGACCTGTTGGGCTACAACCAGGGACCAAAACTGTGAACGCCGGCGACAACTTTCAAGGCTACATCACGGAAGTAGTGGTTGGTGAAGGCGGTGTCCGATCGCCACGAACAGGCTTCCCTGAACGACGGGATGGAACAGTATACCGTGAAGAACCAGTGTAAATACGATCGCCCTGATCTCATTTTATTTCAGGTAATAGCCTTTGGGGGGAGGGTCCAATCCGGCGGCTCATACGCTTTAAGGATGACCGCCCGGAGCCACAGGGAAAAGTATTCCGGCTGACCAACGACAGCGACGAAGGGGAGACCGGCAGAAAAAGGTGTTTCCTAGACTTGCGGCAGTCTTTAGATCGTAGAATAACCTTCAGTGCCCTTACTGGGCATAATGACGCTCATCCTCATCCTCGGCACCCACACTGGACGAGGGGGGAGGGGACAAGGAATGATCTATCAGGCTGTCCTGGGAGTTGAGTCTTTACGCTGACGTCCCAGTACGGTCCAGGATGAACGCGGCGCCCTGGGTACCGCATTCGAACCGGGCATGGGAGACGTCGAGGGCGTGCTGTACATGGACTCGAGCGGCAGTAGTCAAAACCAGTAGAAACACCCGTCTTCTACTTAAGGTCGAAGAAGGAAGACGAGGGGAGTGGTTCGAAGGGCATTGAAGACCAAATTCAGATCCAACGCAGGCGGTCCGAACTTGGTCTTCAGGTCTTCAAGACTGAACGAGCGCAGCCAGGCCCGTAGGTCGGGAATTTTCGTCTTTCTCCGATCGTCCGGGATGGCCAGAAAGGAGTAGATGGCGACCAGGTATGTGGGGGTGGTAAGCCCTTCAACCGATGGGTGCTACACAAGTACAGAAGGAACTGATCCAGGATCTGCGGTGACGCTGTCATCGGATCCTGGTGTTTGTCAGAACAAAATGCCTGGAACAAGCATCATTTATCAGCATACAGTCCCCCTGTAGATGGACGGTGGGCTGAAGCAATAGCCTTGGTCGCTCTAGCCGAATAGCCCTTGGCTTTCTGCATGTGTGTCATGCAGACGATAACATGCGGGTATGAGGGTGTGGCAACAGACCGTGTGGATGGAGCAGAAGGTTGGACCACACCGGAAGTTCCAGGGGTTGTCTCTGGCTATGTTTCGGAGGTCGATAACCCAACTTCTGGCTGACCAATAAGGCGAGACCAAAGTCAATGGCAGGTGTCGAGTGGCCTGGATCTCTGAAGAACCGTGGGAGGGAGAACCGGAGTCGGAAAAGCGTACGCGCGTAATCCTTCTCAGGAACGATGGAAGGCTTCGACTGCCACAGCGGTCGTATCCGGCACAGGTGGAATGGAAGACGACAGCTGGCCACATTCAGATATGAGGCAAACAGATCTAGGGTTGGGGTGTCGACCGTTTCACATAGTCTGGCCCGAGGCGCCGGAGAGCGTGAGGCGTCGGAGAGCTTGAGGCGCCTGGAACGCCGAAGATGGTGATTCTCGGGGGCGCCGGTCGAGTTTGTGGCGCCGGGAGAGGGGCGAGAACTCTGGGTCCGCAAACACCACACTACGGTGACGTCGTCAGTGGACACGATCAACAGGGCGTGACCGAGAATGCACTATCAGCAAGTGCCGTCCTGGATAAGCATTTATCTCGAGGCTGTTGCTGTGCCAATGGTGTTGATCTCTGGATCACAGGTGGTCACAATGTGGGCTGGCGTGGGCCACTAGCCACTGACAAGGTGGCAGGGGAGGTCGTCAGCAACAGGGGTCTGCGATTGCGTACCGTCGGTACGATTCGGAAAAAGGTGTGATCGCCTGCGAGCCAACCTCAAGTAGACGAAGTAAACCAGCTTCACAATCGACCGCCGGGGCATCGACGTAACCGGGTAGTAGGAAGTCGAGGCAATATGGCCATTGCACGAAGTAATGAGATCGTTTTCATCCCTGAAGCGGCGTATAAGTACTCCTGTTCTTATATCGAGGTGACGATGGAGGACGACAACACGATACGAGGCAGGTATGCAACAGGGGTCAGTGGGACGGCCGAGGGACTTTAAGTATCAAATCGACACTGTGTCCGGTAGTCAAGGCGGAAGATAGGAAGGTGTCGTAGTCGAAAAGATCAAACCGGACGAAGGAAGGCGATCTTTTCCATCCCTTGAACGCCTATAGGCGCTATCGTTCTTATAGCGAAGGGTTGATGAAACAAGGTTCCTCGTGACAGCCGTGTTGGTAGAGGAGGTCTATTGTTTCCAACATCCGTGCATGGATGGACTGCGACAGGCGCCTGGTTGAGTGGTATCACCAAGCGTACAGGTAGACATGGAAACCAATCTGTAGAAATACATGGCACCCCTTGCCATGGTAAGTTGACCTAAATCCGGTCGGAGTTGTTGACAGTCCGAGTACTTGACACGTGACATGTAAATCACTCTGCGCAGTAGCCGAGAAAACCGCCTTGGAGTCGGAACTGAGGTGTAAACTCCACACACAGACAATCCTCAATGAACTGTGTGAGAGACGATCAAGTGGTGTACCCGAGTTTTGCGATAAAACACGGAACCCCATTGGCGTCGTGGAAAACCCGGGGAGCGCCGAGGAAGAGTCTCTCTCAGGAACGCTGGCGCTAGGGTAGGGTAGAACAGCGTTGATGTCTGCGATGTCGACGAAGTAAACTCTTTGTAAGTGGATGTCGTCGTCGAATCTGATACAGACGCTGTTCACATGACGCTCTGTTTCGATGGAAACCCGCAGGTCATCTCTCCGGAATCATAGCGCTTTAAACGACGGGATTATGGATAACGTCTCAGTGGGCAAGTTGAATCAGACCAACTGTCTATTGGTTGAAATGATTCCACCCAGGAAGTAGAACGATAGTCACGATCCCGAAGACCGACGGGAGAGTAGCGAAAGGAGCGGCGACAGTTGTTTCACCATGCTTCTCCGTGTGACGAGTTATGAGACGGCAGCAAGAGAAGAGGGCAGTGGCGCCGGGGAGGCGATTGCCGATGGTGCCCCTTAAGCCGCAGTAGAAGATCGGATGGTCGGCTCGTTGATCTGAGCTTGATAAAGCTTGTTGATCTGAAGCTTGTTGAGCGCCGAAGACATCAGAGGATGCGGAGGCGCCGGAGCGCGGAGACATCAGAGGCGCCGGAGGCGCCGAGACATAAGCGGCGCCGAGTCATCAGCTTATCATGAACAAGTCATGAAGCTTGTTGAGCGCCGAGACATCGGAGGCGCCGAGACATAAGCGGCGCAGAGTCATCAGCTTGTCATGAACAAGTCATGAAGCTTGTTGAGCGCCGAGACATCAGCGGCGCCGAGTCATCAGAGGCGCCGGGAGCGCCGAGACATCGGAGGCGCCGCGTCATCAGAGGCACCGGAGGCGCCGTGTCATCAGAGGCGCCGGGAGCGCTGTGTCATCAGAGGCGCCGGAGGCGCCGCGTCATCAGAGGCGCCGGAGGCGCCGGGAGCGCCGGGAGCGCCGGGAGCGCCGCGTCATCAGAGGCACCGGAGGCGCAGAGTCATCGGAGGCGCCGGAGACATCAGCGTTGACGGTGTTGGAGACCGTGAACGGTCTGGGTCGTGCCAGGGGAGGCAGACTCTACGCTGGGAGCGCTGGAGCCGCCGGTGGAGTAGGAGACCGTGAACGGTCGTATGTCGTGCCATGGGAGGCAGACTCTACGTTGGGAGCGCTGGAGCCGCCAGTGGAGTAGGAGACCGTGAACGGTCGTATGTCGTGCCATGGGAGGCAGACTCTACGTTGGGAGCCGCCGTGAAGCTCCGCTGAGCGCTGCTGCCGTCAACGTAGGTGGGGGTCGACGAGCACGTTGAGCGAGGTGTGTCCTGGATACTCGCATGAGCTGAAGGATCACAGCGACGAATGACTGCAACATCGGCACTGCCTTGTGAAAGTACAGGGCGTCGTACAATCACGGCAGAAAGGGGCGGCCCCGACCAGATTTGTTCCCGCGGAAACAAGTGCAGCGAGGCAGAAAATCTGGAATTTAAGCAAAACATAACTATGTGGCAAAGCCACAAAGTGCGGGAAGCATAATGTGTGGCCAATCACAAAGTATGGGAAGCATAAAGTAACTCAAAAACAGTATATTTTATTAAAGTTTATGAGATAAACAAGTACGCTAAAAGGGAGCGAAAAGGCAAAGCCTTAAGCAAACACGTAACCATGTGGCAAAACCACAGAGTACGGGAGACATAATGTAACTCATAAACTTCGTATTATATTGAAGTTTATGAGAAGAAACAATTACGCTGAGCGGTAGCGAAAAGGCAAGGCTTTAAGCACACCAAAACAACATACATAAATGTAATGTATTACCCAAGCCAAAGAGAGAATTCAAAACGCAGAACACGACATTACGTGGCCACGTGGTGAATGGCCAAAATGGCGGGAAAGAAAACAAAATGGCGGGAACAACATTGCGCCCATAAATTACTGTGACGTGAGCCACAGACGAGCGATAAACGTTACAATTTACGAATGGGAAGACCCTAAGGTCACGGCCCATAACAGGTAACAATGTAGCAGCATATAATGAATGTAGAAACACGCAAAATATAAAAAACAAATAATAAGCTTTAATTTCCACAAGGGATACAAAGTACGTCCGTCCGTGGAGGTGACAAAGCAGTTATGTCTTTTGGTGTGACGTCATGACTTCCGGGTCACGTGCCGACTGTGAGAGGGCGCTGCCTCCTGGGCTGGTTGGGACAACTTTCTTCAGCAGCTGGATCTCACACAGTTCGTCTCTCTGTCAAACATAGCAGTAAATGCAATACGGAGTAATGCAGGATAAGTTAAAAAATGTGGCTTATCAGAGGAGTGAGTGAGTGAGTGAGTTGGGTTTAACGCTGCTTTTAACATTCTTCCAGTTATATTGTGGCATGTCAGCTTAATGTAGGAGGAAAGCCCGAAATGATGCAGGTCTCAGACATTTACGACTTCGGTGAAACCCATTGGCACAGTTATGGTGCTGACAAACCTAGAAACATAATCGGGGCAAACCAGGATTCGAACCCACAATCATAGGTTTCTGGTGTGCCCAAGGGACGCAACTCTGCACAGCGAATCGCAGCGCCTTAGACAACTGCGCAACCCGTGCCCCCTTATCAGAGGAAGTGAAATAGGGTTTTACGTTGCATTCAAGATCATTGCACTTTGAAAGCGATGTTTATGCAAGCATGTGTGGCTGCTTGTACTAGCCCAAACTAATGCCGGTTTTATAGATCTAGTCCACTGAGATACCATGTCGCAGTTTAACATGGATACTCCACCCAGACACAGTACACTGACTCCGAGCTGACCAGTCCTTGTTTTAGCCATTCAATGCCGAGCGCCAGTCAGGGTCACAAGAAAAAACATCCTGTAACGACTTTGGGTATGACACGGCTGGGGATCAAACCACCACCTTCTGCTCTCCAGGCAGACACTCTATCCACTTTTGGAGGCAGTTCCTGATCAGAGGAGGTGAGGTGAGGTGAGGTGAGGTGAGGTGAGGTGAGGTGAGGTGAAGTTGGGTTTAACGTCGCGTCCAAGATTATTGCACTTATATAGCGACATGCATGTACATGTATGTGTTTGTGTAGCTGCTTGTACTAGTCCGGACTGATGCCGATTTATAGTGCTAGCTCACTGAGATACCATGCCGCAGTTTAACATGAATATCCCACACAGACACAGCATACTGACTCCGAGCCGACCAGTCCTTGTTTTAGCCCCTTAATGCCGAGCACCAGACAGGGTAACAACAAGACCATCTTTTAACGTCTTTAGGTATGACGCAGCTGGGGATTGAACCTGGACCTTCCGCCCTCTGGGCGGACCCTCTACCACTAGACCACGGAGGCAGTCCCTGATCAGAGGAACCCATTAGTGATTGATAGTGTGATGCACCCTCATGTTCAGCCAAGTTAGAGTTGGAGTAGATCTTACCAGGGCCTGTCCCACAAAGTGGTCTTAGTGTTACCTACGACACTCATCCTTGAACTTATGGCCGATGATGCACTCGCTAAGATGTTGAACTGGGCCCTTGGAAAATCAATTATCATCACTAATATAAATCTATTTATCATATTGGACAGTCACTATTGACCATGAAGACATCAGCATCCATTTGTCTTAGGTCAAATTTTCTCACCTTTGAATAATTATTTTTGATTTGCTGTGGCTTGAGACCTTGACCTATGACCCCTGCATGGAAGACACTGGATGAAGTCTTTGGCAAGGTCATGGACATCGCCCGCTGTTGGTTTTCTCGGAACAAGGAGACATTGTCTTGAGATTGCAAACTCTTTTTGGATGTGGAATCAAATTTTCCTCCAAACAAAAAACAGTTCTCCTGCAAAAGAACAGAGAACATATATTATAGTTGTTGTTAATATTCCAGCTTTATGATGTTGGTCTGTAAATAATCGAGTCTGGACCAAACAATCCAGTGATTGACATCTCGAGCATCAATCTACACATTTGGGACACGATGACATATATCAACCAAGTCAGCGAGTCTGACCACCCATTAGTCGCTTATTACGACAAGCAAAGTCGCCTTTTACGACAAGCATGGGTTGCTGAAGAACAATTCTTACCCGGACCTTCTCTGGTCTATCTTGTTTGCAAACAATGAAAATATTTCAGCTTGATTGATAAAACGTAAGTCTGCAGATGGATAATTTCTTGTTCAAATTGAGCATACTTAAGTGAACAGCTCTGGAGAACAATGACCTTGACATATGTCAAGAGTCAGAGGTGAAGGTTGAAGGGTTACCTGGGAGGTTGCGCCTTCTGTCAGGAACTGTATCAACATACACTGTGCTGAACAATGGCGGTGGAGCTGGCGGAAACAGCTCTTACATAGCCGGACATTTCTTAAAGTTTTGGCATCATCTGGCAAAGGAAAGGATAAGAGATTGTCAGAATGAAATCCCTTGAAAGAGGACAATGTTTGAGTCTAGCATTTACCTGTATACTGCAGCATAGTGAAGGTGAGTCTAGTATTTACCTGTATACTGCAGCATGGTGAAGGTGAGGCAAGTATTTACCTGTATACTGCAGCATACTGAAGATGAGTCTAGTATTGACCTGTGTACTGCAGCATGGTAAAGGTGAGTCTAGCATTTACCTGTATATTGCAGCATGGTGAAGGTGAGTCTAGTATTTACCTGTGTACTGCAGCATGGTGAAGGTGAGTCTAGTATTTACCTGTGTACTGCAGCATGGTGAAGGTGAGTCTAGTATTTACCTGTATACTGCAGCATGAAGGTGAGGCAAGTATTTACCTGTGTACTGCAGCATGGTGAAGGTGAGTCTAGTATTTACCTGTATACTGCTGCATGGTGAAAGTGAGGCAAGTATTTACCTGTAAACAACAGCACAGTGAAGGTGAGTCTAGTTTTTACCTGTGTACTGCAGCATGGTGAAGAAGGTGTGGGTGAGGTTGGAGCAGAGACAGATGAGGACGGGGGTGTGGAGCGTGAGGGGGATCTGGATGTGGCTGAGGATCTGCAGCACGGTGGAGGAGATGTCCCGACTGGGGTGGAGCAGCAGCTCTGACAGGGACAACAGGTGCTTCTCCAGACACTTCCGCAGCTGGGAACTACAACAACGGACACACACAAGTCAGTCCCAAAATAGCAGGCACTGGATTGCCTTAAAATCGAAATTTAACAAATAACAATTAACAATGATTGACTGATGTTTTAAGTTATTTTGAGCAACATAACAGCTACATCACGGCAACCTGTAAATAAGTCTCAGCCAGGAAAACTGGTGGTTGATAGGATGAACATAACTCTATGCCTTCAGGGCAGGATGACACACTGTCATCCAGGTAACATGTTGTAGATCCCATTTAGTCAGCTCTTGAAATAAGACAGGGTACTGGAGAGTTGTTGTTCCCTGGAATCCCGACAGGGATATTCGTGAGTTCGTGAGTGAGTTCGTGAGTTCGTGAGTGAGTTCGTGAGTTCGTGAGTGAGTTCGTGAGTGAGTTCGTGAGTTCGTGAGTGAGTGAGTGAGTGAGTGAGTGAGTGAGTGAGTGAGTGAGTGAGTGAGTGAGTGAGTGAGTGAGTGAGTGAGTGTGGTTTTATGCTGCTTTTAGCAATATTCCAGCAATATCACAGTGGGCTTTACAAATTGTACCCATGTGGGGAATTGAACCCGGGTCTTCAGTGTACATGGGTACAAGCCATTACCTGGTGGTCTTTGTCTTGAAGGACGTTGTCTTTTTCTCCCATTGGATGAGGAACAGCAGATTTTTTAGAAGTCGGAGCTGATTGGTTGATGTGTGAGGTTGTAGCAGGTCAAACACGTGTCGCATGGTTGTTGTAATCAGGTTCGGAATGCCAATCTCTATTCCCTTCTGCAGTCTGAGAAACACTGTGGACTACAAAGGATACAGTGTCACATGGCATCAAACATGGCCTCATGTTGGTAACATGTATGCATTTCTTCCTTTTTCTTTTGATCATTATGTGGAAACAAAGTTTCCAGCTTCTAAAAACAATTCACCCAAACACATGCCAGCATCACCATGGTCACCAGGCAAACAAAATTTTCTATGTGATTTCTGATTAACTTCTTATGACAAATGTTTCAAACTGGGCTCCCTCATTATTAAAAGTGCGCTATTACTGCTGATGTTTCTCAATGTAAAAAAGCAGAGATACTGTACCTGCATTGGCCGAACCGACTGAGCTATGACTCCTGACAAGATGGTGGCAGCACAGGACTGGCCAGAGTACAGAGCAACGAACGTCAAAATCTGCTGCACCCATAGATGGCTGGAATCAGACAAGGGAAATATTGATTCAGTAGGGTTGTGATGTCCTCAGCTAACACATCAAACACAACACAAACACATATTCTGTCATTGCACATTATTATAACCAACATCACTCACAGTCCTACAGTTGATGCTTGTTATAACGAAACTAGAAAACTCCACAAAGTTCTGTAGCTCACCTGAGTGAGTGAGTGAGTTTTATGCCATTTTTAGCAATATTCCTGGCATATCACAGCAGGGGACACCAGAAATGGACTTCACACATTGTACCCATGTCAGGAATCGAACCCAGGTCTTCGACGTGACGAGCGAATGCTTTAACCACTAGGCTACCCGACCTAAGCATAAGATATGTTAGCGGCTACATACTTCTATTTTCTGACCACATATTCATGTATTTGTTTAGATTTGCTGACTTCATTCATTACTTACAATATAGCAAGATGTGGTTTGAATAGAAATACAACCCTTTCATATATCTTATCTGGTGTTACCCACCATGATAGCACTGCATGCAGCGTAAACCTATATTGTAATCACTCACCCTTATGATATGGGTTGTTTCTTACTTAATATTTTCTATAAGTATAACCTTAGATTAAACCCAGGTCTTCGGCGTGACGAGCGAATGCTTTAATCACTAGGGTACCTCGCTGCCCCGGCAGCAACTGAAGTAAGTGTGTGTTCTCACCTCTGCCCCTCGCTCTCTATGAGGAGTTTGAGAAGTCGGTGGACGTCCCCGGCCAGTCCAGCAAGTAGCGGCAAGTCCTGGTTGGGCATGCTCTTCTTCCGGGAGTGAATCGTGTGTTGGATTTCATAGATCAGCTTATCCTAGAACACAGACATGACAACATAATAAATCTGAGTCACTATGTTTGGTCGGTCTGTATTTCAGCTATATAATAACAATCTGTAATTCTGGATGCGACAAACCAGTGATTGATATTATGAACATTGTCCCACTCATGCGGGTGAGGTGAGGTGAGGTGAGGTGAGGTGAGGTGAGGTGAGGTGAGGTGAAATGGGGTTTACCATCGTGTCCAAGATTATTGCACTTATATAGCGACGTGCATGCACGTGTATGTGTGTGTATGTGGCTGCTTGTACTAGTCCGGACTGATGCTGATTTATAGAGCTAGCACGCTGAGATACCATGCCACAGTTTAACATGAATATCCCACTCAGACACAGTATACTGACTCCGAGCCGACCAGTCCTTGTTTTAGCCCCTTAATGCCGAGCGCCAGACAGGGTAACAACAAGTACCATCTTTCAACGTCTTTTGGTATGACGCGGCTGGGGATCGAACCCCGGACCTTCTGCTCTACCATTAGACCAAGGAGGCAGTCTCCCACGCATGCAGGGTATAACCTATGAAGGCTGAGTATATAATATGGACGTAATGTATGGTCAAGGAAGCATTACATAAGCAGAAGTATCTTAAATTTACGTTTAGAAGCTGTGACATCAACGAAGACTTGATGGACTTATTAATGAGTGAGTTTGGTCTTATGCCATTCACCACTTTAGTGAAACTCACAAGCACAGATATAATGCTGACAATCCTAGACACATAATCAGGGCAAACCTGGATTCAAACCTATGATTATTGGATTCTGGCACAACTTAGGGATGCAATTATTTACCATCAGTTCATGACAGACCTGACCATCAGTTCATGACACAACTCACCATCAGTTCATGACAACTCACCATCAGTTCATGACAATTCACCATCAGTTTATGACCACTAACCATCAGGTCATGACACATCTCACCATAAATTCTTGACACAACACACCATCATTTCATGACACAACTCACCATCATTTCATGACAACTCACCATACACACCATCAGTTCATGACACAACTCACCATCAGTTCATGACACAACTCACCATCTGTTCATGACAACTCACCATCAGTTCATGACACAACTCACCATCAGTTCATGACATCTCACCATCAGTTCGTGACACAACTCACCATCAGTTCATGACACGCATCCTGGACTTCCTTCACTGGACAGGTTACCTCCATTCCATCTGATAGAACAACACTATACTCCATAAACTCAAGAATACAGGTTGTCAGTGACAACAATTCAACTACAATACATAACGATACATGGACAATCTCACATCTAGCAGTCTGGTAAAGTTAAGATATCCAGTAACTTGATGAGATGAATATGCCGTTTGACTAGAAGAGCCAACTATTTATTTTTTAAACTTTAGTCTCCATGAAAATGCCAGAAAATGTTCTGTTAAAGGGATCAGTTCAAAAGTTTGATGTCGGATAAAAAACGTAATTCCGTAAGTTTTGAGACACACCCCCAACCCACTAACCCCCCAAAAACTTCAACCTAAAAGTAGAAGCAAAGTGGCTTCTTTTATTGGCTGAAGATTATTTACAAGGTGTTGACAATCATTTGTAGGGGTTTTGAAGATCAAATCTGCCATGTTATATCACACACACTCGATGAATCTACCACCATTGCTGGCTATGATAAAACCCTACTTTGTGGAAAGAACGAATGTATTTAACGAAACTTCTAACAGCTTATGAATATAAACAGTATAAGAGTTTTTCTTAGTTTTGTTGCAATATAAAACATTGAGAAATGAGGTACAGGGTCAGTTGATTTTACTGACTAGCAAGGCAACTTGAGGAACTAAGATTTTTATCTGACATCAAACTTTTGAACTGGTCCTTAAATTATGCCAACAAGCTACAAACTTTCCAGTGACACACGATTGTTCAGTGTTCAATTTATTTACTCAAACACACATTTTCTTGTGTTTTACTAATGTTGTAATGAAATAAAAGTGATGAATCAGAGTGAGTGAGTTGTGTTTAATGCTGCTTTGAACGTACTCAGTTATTTCACGGTGTGTCAGCTTGATGCGCGAAGAAAGCTCAAAGTGATGCAGGTATCAGACTCACCACCATGGGGTATGGTGCTGACAAAACAAGAAACATAATCGGATCCGGGATTCCAACCCATGACCACTAGTGTCTGGTGTGTCCAAGGGACACAACTCTGCACGGCAAACTGCAGCGCCAAAGACGCAACTTGGCCACCTGTGCCCCTAATGAGTTAGAAGGGTATTTGTTAGGGGGAGATTCAGTATTTCAGCCTCGCTGTGGAAATGTGCAGTCACTGATTATACCAACCTTGTTGTTGTTTAGGAGCAGCGGCTGTGATGAGGAACTCCACTACATCGTAACCGCCAACATCACTCTTCACCGCCAAGTGGACCACGAGACTCAGCAGGCTGCAACACAGTGAGTGAGTGAGTGCACATTGTTTTACGCAACTCAGCTTTGTTCCATGAGACAGGTCACACATTTCAGTCAGGTCTTGAGGTGTTTACGACTCCTTATTTTAATAGAAAAAGGAATTATAACCCAGAGAGTCAAAGAGTAGGGTTTCTGGGCCCTGTTCCACAAAGCAATCTAAGCGCTAAGATGATTGTAACTCCCATACTTTAACATAGGCTTACAGTAGTCGTAGCACTAAGATAGCTTTGTGGAACGGGACCCAGGGTCCCAGAGCGGAGTGGAGCGGAGTGGAGCGGAGTGGAGCGGAGTGGAGCGGAGTGGAGTGGAGTGGAGAGGAGTGGAGTGGAGTGGAGATGAGTGGAGTGGAGTGGAGTGGAGTGGAGTGGAGTGGAGTGGAGTGGAGTGGAGTGGAGTGGAGTGGAGTGGAGTGGAGTGGAGTGGAGTGGAGTGGAGTGGAGTGGAGATGAGTGGAGTGGAGTGGAGTGGAGTGGAGTGGAGTGGAGTGGAGTGGAGTGGAGTGGAGTGGAGCGGAGCAGACAGGAGAGGAGTGGAGAGTAGTGGAGAAGAGAGGAGCGATAGTGTGGACACTTTCATGACGACTACAGAAGAAAAGTACCGTGACCGATGTGAGGGTTAGCTTGGGGCAGAAGCACATATATTTTGAGTAGCATATAAATCAGTACACACCTCTCGTATTCTTTTAAGTTTGCCATCTTCCACTTGGAGAATTGGCTGTGAAGTTTGTTGAGTACTTCAGGTGTCACTGAGGAGAGTCAAATTCACATGGATCACAGTGAGCAGGCATGTAGTTACTTCCTTTCAACCACGGCTAATAATGGATTGCCGACGACAGTAAGAGACAAATCACGTGTTGATCAGTTAAAATAATGCAAACAATTACCTGAGAATCTACAAGGAGTTATGATAAAACTGAATAGGTAAATTGGCTTACAATTATCTTCCAGACAGTCAGGCAGGTGAAGGAAAATTTCATGCAGCCCGACAAAGTCACCAGCCTCAGGCAGGCAGTTATTACTATGCAAGATAGCTCCTTGAACTTAACATAACTAGTCCTGCTTTCTTTTTGAAAATCCGTGCACATATATCTATTTTCTACCATTTAGAGTTTGTGTTTCATACACAATTACTGACGTACATCAGTGTGTGAGTTGTGTGAGACACTGCTTGATCAGTATTTCAGTCAGACATTTACAACATTTGTGAAACTAAAAGGTCTGGGCATGTTGCCAACAACCAAGAGTTTTAATCAACATAAATGTGGGATTCAAATTCATGATCTTAGGATCCTGGTATCACTAAGGGGCGCAACTCTGCACAGTGATTTGTGAGGTCTAAGCCCACTGGGTCACTCGCACCCCCAGCCTAAACACCTGAAGGCTTACAGGCTTTGATTATGCTCATACCCCTAGCCTAAACACCTGGAGACTTACAGGCTTTGATCATGTCCGTACCCCCAGCCTAAACACCTGGAGACTTACAGGCTTTGATCATGTCCGTACCCCCAGCCTAAACACCCAGAGACATACAGGCTTTGATCATGTCCTTACCCCCAGCCTAAACACCCGGAGACTTACAGGCTTTGATCATGTCCGTACCCCTAGTCTAAACACCTGGAGACTTGAAGGCTTTGATCATGTCCATACCCTAGTCTAAACACCTGGAGACTTACAGGCTTTGATCATGTCCGTACCCCCAGCCTAAACACCTGGAGACTTACAGGCTTTGATCATGTCCATACCCCCAGCCTAAACACCTGGAGGCTTACAGGCTTTGATCATGTCCATACCCCCAGCCTAAACACCTGGAGACTTACAGGCTTTGATCATGTCCATACCCCCAGCCTAAACACCTGGAGACTTACAGGCTTTGATCATGTCCATACCCCCAGCCTCAACACCCGGAGACTTGAAGGCTTTGATCATGTCCATACCCCCAGCCTAAACACCTGGAGACTTACAGGCTTTGATCATGTCCATACCCCCAGTCTAAACACCTGGAGACTTACAGGCTTTGATCATGTCCATACCCCCAGCCTAAACACCTGGAGACTTACAGGCTTTGATCATGTCCATACCCCCAGCCTAAACACCTGGAGACTTACAGGCTTTGATCATGTCCATACCCCCAGCCTAAACACCCGGAGACTTACAGGCTTTGATCATGTCCATACCCCTAGTCTAAACACCTGGAGACTTACAGGCTTTGATCATGTCCATACCCCTAGTCTAAACACCTGGAGGCTTACAGGCTTTGATCATGTCCGTACCCCCAGCCTAAACACCTGGAGACTTACAGGCTTTGATCATGTCCGTACCCCATGTCTAAACACCTGGAGACTTACAGGCTTTGATCATGTCCGTACCCCTAGTCTAAACACCCGGAGACTTACAGGCTTTGATCATGTCCATACCCCTAGTCTAAACACCTGGAGACTTACAGGCTTTGATCATGTCCGTACCCCTAGTCTAAACACCTGGAGACTTACAGGCTTTGATCATGTCCATACCCCCAGCCTCAACACCCGGAGACTTACAGGCTTTGATCATGTCCATACCCCTAGTCTAAACACCTGGAGACTTACAGGCTTTGATCATGTCCATACCCCTAGTCTAAACACCTGGAGGCTTGAAGGCTTTGATCATGTCCATACCCCTAGTCTAAACACCTGGAGACTTACAGGCTTTGATCATGTCCATACCCCTAGTCTAAACACCTGGAGGCTTGAAGGCTTTGATCATGTCCGTACCCCCAGCCTAAACACCTGGAGACTTACAGGCTTTGATCATGTCCATACCCCTAGTCTAAACACCTGGAGACTTACAGGCTTTGATCATGTCCATACCCCCAGCCTAAACACCCAGAGACTTACAGGCTTTGATCATGTCCGTACCCCTAGTCTAAACACCCAGAGACTTACAGGCTTTGATCATGTCCATACCCCCAGCCTAAACACCTGGAGACTTACAGGCTTTGATCATGTCCATACCCCCAGCCTAAACACCCGGAGACTTACAGGCTTTGATCATGTCCATACCCCCAGCCTAAACACCTGGAGACTTACAGGCTTTGATCATGTCCATACCCCCAGCCTAAACACCTGGAGACTTACAGGCTTTGATCATGTCCGTACCCCCAGCCTAAACACCTGGCGACATACAGGCTTTGATCATGTCCATACCCCTAGCCTAAACACCTGGAGACTTACAGGCTTTGATCATGTCCGTACCCCCAGCCTAAACACCTGGAGACTTACAGGCTTTGATCATGTCCGTGCCCCCAGTCTAAACACCTGGAGACTTGAAGGCTCTGATCATGTCCGTACCCCCAGCCTAAACACCTGGAGACTTACAGGCTTTGATCATGTCCGTACCCCCAGCCTAAACACCTGGAGACTTACAGGCTTTGATCATGTCCGTACCCCATGTCTAAACACCTGGAGGCTTACAGGCTTTGATCATGTCCGTACCCCTAGTCTAAACACCTGGAGACTTACAGGCTTTGATCATGTCCGTACCCCTAGTCTAAACACCTGGAGGCTTACAGGCTTTGATCATGTCCGTACCCCTAGTCTAAACACCTGGAGGCTTACAGGCTTTGATCATGCTCGTACCCCATGTCTAAACACCTGGAGGCTTACAGGCTTTGATCATGTCCATACCCCCAGCCTAAATACCTGGAGACTTACAGGCTTTGATCATGTCCATACCCCCAGTCTAAACACCTGGAGACTTACAGGCTTTGATCATGCTCGTACCCCATGTCTAAACACCTGGAGACTTACAGGCTTTGATCATGTCCGTACCCCCAGCCTAAACACCCAGAGACATACAGGCTTTGATCATGTCCGTACCCCTAGTCTAAACACCTGGAGACTTACAGGCTTTGATCATGTCCATACCCCCAGTCTAAACACCTGGAGACTTACAGGCTTTGATCATGCTCGTACCCCTAGTCTAAACACCTGGAGACTTACAGGCTTTGATCATGTCCGTACCCCCAGCCTAAACACCCAGAGACATACAGGCTTTGATCATGTCCGTACCCCCAGCCTAAACACCCGGAGACTTACAGGCTTTGATCATGTCCATACCCCTAGTCTAAACACCTGGAGACTTACAGGCTTTGATCATGTCCGTACCCCTAGTCTAAACACCTGGAGACTTACAGGCTTTGATCATGTCCATACCCATAGTCTAAACACCCGGAGACTTACAGGCTTTGATCATGTCCGTACCCCCAGCCTAAACACCTGGAGACTTGAAGGCTTTGATCATGTCCGTACCCCTAGTCTAAACACCTGGAGACTTGAAGGCTTTGATCATGTCCATACCCCTAGTCTAAACACCCAGAGACTTACAGGCTTTGATCATGTCTGTGGTGAGCACCTGCAGCAACATCTGCGACATGGACGCCAGCTGCAGCAGGAACGGCACAGTCTTCACCTTCATCACATCACTCTCGCCACATAAACTCTCCTGAAACCAGTACAGTCAAACATTATCCCTTCAAAAGTTCACAGTTACTTTTTGTAGTTTATTTAATCAAAATAGAGCTGTTGGGCAAATAAAAAGAATTATTAAAAATGAAGTTTATTTCATGTTTGTGCCTTTTGGCTCCAACTGACTGAATTAAAAAAATGAACTTAATGCGAACAATGTTCTGCAAGGCTCCATCATTTTCATGCTAAAGTACCAAATACAAGTTGGTTACACAGCTATGAAATATCACAAACAACAGAAAGTTCTCTATTGTTACAATGTTACACCTATCTTTGTTAACTGAGGTGAAATTGGGTTTAACATTACGTTCAAGATTATTGCACTGATATAGCAATGTGTGTGTGCATGTGTGTGTGGCTGCTTGTACTAGTCTGGACTAATGCTGATTATATAGTGCTAGCCCACTGAAATACCATGCCGCAGCTTAACATGAATTCCCCACTCAGACACAGTATACTGACTCTGTGCTGATCAGTGAGTGAGTGAGTATGGTTTTACGCCGCTTTTAGCAATATTCCAGCAATATCACAGCGGGGGACACCAGAAATGGGCTTCACACATTGTACCCATGTCGGGAATCGAACACGGGTCTTCAGCATGACGAGCGAACGCTTTAACCACTATGCTACCTGACCGCCCCCTGTGCGGATCAGTCCTTGTTTTATCCTCTTAATGTGGGGTGCGAGGCAGGGTAACAATAGGTACCATCTTTTAACATCTTTTGGTATGACGTGGCCGGAGATCAAACCCATGACCGTCAGCTCACCAGGCAGACGCTTTATCCTCTAGAACACGGAGGTGGTGCCCTTTCTCAAGTATGTATCCTTATAACCACAAAACACCCACCTACACCATACAGCACTTCATCCTTTGCTTGCTCAAGTAATAAACACAATTTCACCACTGGGCAATAAAATATCATTAACAACAGAACATTCTGCCACACCATTGACCTTAGTCCAACTATTCCTTGCCAGTTGTTTTGCTCACCTCAAATAATTTCATGAGTGCACGTCTGATGTCTTGTCCATGTTTGGAGGCAAGATGTCCAAGAATTCCTACAACCGATGCCATTTTGGGAAGCTTTTGTCGTGAGGACATTTCCCTCTCCGACATATCGGTTCCCAGGTTACAGAAATCCTTCAGGCCACAGTTCAACACTCGAGTTATGATCATCTTCGGGAAGCACGATCTGAAGCCGATAGACTCAAAGTGTAGCTCAGTGGGTCAGGGAGTAGGTTCAAATAACGTTGGAATAGGTTTGAGCCTTCTCTTGACAGATGTCAGACTTATCATTAAGAATATTCATCTTGTTGTGAAACATTGTAAGCAGAGAACTCTCCTCCACAACATACGATCATTGTCAGCAACATCTGGGCCCTGTTCCATAAAGCAATCTTAGCGCTAAGATGATTGTAACTCCCATACTTTAACATAGGCTTACGGTAGTCGTAGCTCTAAGATCGCTTTGTGGAACAGGGCCCTGGTTGGCAGCTCTTCAGAAAATCCTCCCACTTTCATTAAGTTACTTAGACTCCTTGTTAGTTCATTAAAGGCCCTATAGTTACAGGCCTCGACCAAAAGGCTGGCTTTCCAATCACAAAGTTGATAGTCCTATCACATTTTTAGCAGTCCCTCCTTAAAGAAACTTCCTAACTGCTAGAAAATACACTAGTAAAGAAGAAACTATCAATTTCCACACCAGTGACACAATTGAGCTACACACAACTTACCCTATGTGAGCTACGACCCAGTCAAAGTGTGGGCTGTACTTGACTGGGCAACACACAACTTACCCTATGTGAGCTACGACCCAGTCAAAGTGTGGGCTGTACTTGACTGAGCCACACACAACTTACCCAATGTGAGCTACGACCCAGTCAAAGTGTGGGCTGTACTTGACTGAGCTACACACAACTTACCCTATGTCAGCTATGACCCAGTCAAAGTGTTGGCTGTACTTGACTGAGCTACACACAACTTACCCTATGTGAGCCACGACCCAGTCAAAGTGTGGGCTGTACTTGACTGAGCTACACACAACTTACCCTATGTGAGCTATGACCCAGTCAAAGTGTTGGCTGTACTTGACTGAGCTACACACAACTTACCCAATGTGAGCCACGACCCAGTCAAAGTGTGGGCTGTACTTGACTGAGCTACACACAACTTACCCTATGTGAGCTACGACCCAGTAAAAGTGTGGGCTGTACTTGACTGAGCTACACACAACTTACCCTATGTGAGCTATGACCCAGTCAAAGTGTGGGCTGTACTTGACTGAGCTACACACAACTTACCCAATGTGAGCTACGACCCAGTCAAAGTGTGGGCTGTACTTGACGGAAGCCTCGAGTAGAGCATCTACACAGATGTCAGGGGCTCCACCAACCCTGCAACAGATGGGATCACAGGAATGAGTTGGTAGTCATATCACAAGTATGTTAGCTTGTTGTTACAGGAAAGCCCAAGGTGATGCAGGTCCTGAAATGTTTTTTCACTTTTCACTATGGGAAACCATAAGCATTGTAGACTGGTATGGTGCCGCTGGACCAAAGGTCATAACAACATTAAATCTGGGATTCAAACCCAGCATAACTGTGCAGGTAGATAAACGGACGATATGGAAATAAAGACAGTGATTTATCCTGGATCAAGTAGGTCCATTTTAAGGTGTATGTGTATTTTGAGATTGCATGCAATGCAATAATATATTACTCAGCTTTACAACCTTCTCCTATTTATCTGTCCTGTTGTCAGTGTATAACAGGTTACTGTATTCGACGTAATAAGCGCCCTGCTCTAATAAGTGCCCACAGCGATATTTACTAATATATTGGCTAGTGAACAATCCCAATTAGCACCCCTTACGATTTATCAATGTACACAAGACTTATTTATTCGCGTATAATATGTGTGTTATATGCATCCTTAATTATGGGAAATTAAATTCTGGAAAAATATATCTGTCGTATATAAACATTTCAGGCTGTCAGCATCAACCACGAAATTTACAATCTTTCAACTCTGTTGTTTTTCACCAAAATAATATTCTAATAAGAGTCCCCTATTTCTAATTTTGAGAGCGCCCTGGGCGCTTATTATGTCAAATACAGTATTTCTACAAAGCCAACTAATAATTTATTTTGGGAAGTTTTAAAGACATTTGAAGCCAAATATCAGCCCCTGAGCAGGTCTAAATAAGTCCCTGAAAGATGTTGATACCAATTAATTTAAAACACCATGCTAACAACACAAGGTTGTCAGTCACTGTGTGTGTGGAGGATGGGAGAGAAACGACAGAGACAGAGAGAGAACGAACAAATGTCAAAGAAAAGATAATTTGTTGATATTCTTGCTCAGGAGATACAAATCCAGACGTGGGTGAGTTGGATGGTGAGACTCACATGGCTGCGAAGCACTCGGAGGCAAGCTCCATGAGAAGCTTGGTGGGGGAGCAAGTCATCCACAGCTGCAACACCTCGTTTAGGGAGCTGGAGTGAGTCATTCCTCGCTTCTCTGCATACTTGCAGCTGATGTGACCCAGGAGCTCCAGGGACCACTGGCAAACAGCATGATAGAACATTTTTATAATCTTGGGTTTAATCTAAGGTTATACTTATAGAAAGTATTAAGTAAGAAACAACCCATATCAAAATAGTGAGTGATTACAATATTGTTTTACGCTGCATGTGGTGATATCATTATCATGGTTGGTAAGACCAGATAAGATACATGAAGGGTTATATTTCTATTCAAACCATATCTTGCATTTTGTTATATTGTAAGTAATGAATGAAGTCAGCAAATCTAAACAAATACATGAATATGTGGTCAGAAAATAGTTGGTTGGTTGGTTTGTTGTTTAACGCCGCACTCAGCAATATTCCAGCTATATGACGGCGGTCTGCAAACAATCGAGCCTGGACCAGACAATCCAGTGATTGATTTCATAAGCATCGATCCACGCAATTGGGATTGATGACATGCATCAACCAAGTCAGCGAGTCTGACCACCCAATCCCGTTAGTCACCTTTTACGGCAAGTATAGGTTGCTGAAGACCTTTTCTACCCCGGAATCTTCACGGGTCAGTCAGAAAATAGAAGTATGTAGCCGCTAACATATCTTATGCTACTGTGTAGCATGCAGCCACTGAATTGTTACTACATGTAAACATATCTTTGTCAAGCATTTTTGTCATCACATAAGCACCCACTTACAGCAGACAGGATGGGAGCCCAGGCTTCTGGGTTGACTTGGATAAAGCTGAGAAGTACTCCAGAGATATCCTGGAGGATTCCCTCTTTTATCTTCACAGTCTCGTCTAAAACAGCAAGCCCCCTATTATTCAGCAGAGTTACCATGGTTAACTTTAAAGAATTCTCTTTTTTTAACGATGCACACAACGCTCTAACTTTTTTTATGGTGGCCTGTAATTAATCAAGTCTGGATCAGACAATCCAGTGACCAGTTATCAGCAACATTCCATGCTGTTGGGGTATCTATGATGACACATAATCAACCAAGTGACCGAGTCTGACCACCAGAGGAGGTGACCTATGATGTGCTGGAATACCCACTCTTACATGACCCAGCACAAGTCTTAGATTTGCAGATTGCGAGTCGCTATTTTTGGCAACAATGCAGTTTACCGGGCACAGCCCGAGCTCTACCATCAGCTCAGTTACCGCGCTATAGTGCCGCCGCTGTCTCGTTATACCTTTACCGTGCCTCACCCTCTGGTGACTCCCGTTTCACGATCCAACGCCTGTTTTCAGTCTTAGAGAAACTTACACGTCTTTGCGATCCAACACCCGTTTTCGGTCCTTAGGGAAACTTAAAGATCTTTACGATCAAACACCCGTTCTCAGTCTTAGGGAAACTTACACGCCTTTGCGATCCAACACCCGTTTTCGGTCTTAGGGAAACTTACACATCTTTACGATCCAAAACCCCTTTTCGGTCCTTAGGGTAAGCTTGCTTTGGGCAAGGGTTAGCCATAAATTCTTACCTTTACAAGCGTTAAAGCTGTTAATCCCATTGGTCGGTCATGTTGACATAAACACTTCCGGGTGTGGTTTCAAGAAACAATTCATTGTTTACTGAATTACGCATGAATGTTAATTGGGGATTCTAATGACCCGTTAAACGAGCACTGATTACATGTGATAGTGCCTGTGGTCCAGTGGTAGGGCGTCGGCTAATTAACACATTAATTAGCAGAGCCGGTGAGCCGGCGAAGCTCGTTCGAGCCCCCACAGCGCTAATTGGATCTGAAATAGTGCGCCTGGTAAAGTGCACTACTCCCAATTTTTTTATAGAGAAGAACTGCATTGTTGACCTGTTCAACTCACCTGTAACACTTTGTCCCAGCTCCATCTGTAACAGATGGTTGTTGACCGCCTCATCAAAGACATTACAGAAGTGTTCCAACACTGCGTGCCGGGCGGCAGGCATTGTCCGCAGCAGGAACAACGCTGACTGGGCAAGGTTCTCTTCTCCGATCTTACTGTCATAGCTGGCCCCACGTAAAAAGCGATTCACTTCATTCAAAATATCCTATAAACGAAGTGGATGAATTACCGGATTGTATTAAAAAAAGAATATTGAAACATGAGAAATACGTACATACATATAAGTTTGACATTAACGAAAACGTGGGAGGGGGACGAGGGACATCAATGCATCTGCACGAAAACTGAAGGTGTATGTGGTAGTCATTAAAAGAGCCCACAAAAGTGATGAAAAAAGAACGCGATATTTGGTTTTGAAAAGACAAGCAATGGACTTATCAATATAAGGGTTGTCAAAGCGATTGGTTATCTGAAAATGTACACTATCAAAATAAACAATCAAAACCTGAGGTGCTGTTGACACTCCGAGAGCTTCTGTGGCCGCGGCCATTTTCACAAAGCATTCAGAGTTGTGTTAGAAAAAAGTTTCGAATCAAACATAAATTTATGTGATAACTAGTTTAAAATATCGAAATTTGTCTCAAACTTGTTAATTCACTCATCTACTTAAAATAAATAATAAATAAAATACATTGAAACCATGGGACTTTGTCTGATTCGTTGAAATACGAATATGTGGCTGTATCAAGCCCAGTAAAGCCAATTCCGAACCAAGGGCATGATTCTGTCAAGAGCACATAGCGGCTTCACTAGAACAGAGATAACGTGATTTATAACGGAACAGATATGCATAGTTACAGCATCTCTTAGCTTACAGTTAGCTTTGAAGGCTTCTTGGCAATAGTTGTACTTGAGATCTTCATTACAGCGCTGGGATCAATAATATATCTACATAATGGTAATTTTGTTTTTGTTCAATGTCCTGGAATCAACAGAACTTGATCGCTGTTATTAGATTTGAAAAATAATTTAATGTGTGTTGTCAGCATGGTCAGTATATCATGTAGGCCCATGTTGATATCTAAGTATTGACATTGTTATTTATAATGTGTTTGTTATTGTTGTATTAATAAGTACTACAATATTATTTTTTATGTTTATGCCGAAATATGTCAACATCAACAAAAACGTATTCTAGAATCACTGACACGATTGAAATTTTTGTTGATTGTGTCAGATGTATTATTAAATTTCTTTGTCGTCTCACAGAAGCCGAGTAGACATATTTTTTTTTCATCTTTGAAATTATTAGCACATTTTTCTCCCAATTTGACCATTTATTATTTTTCTTATGACATTTTTTTCATGTCATTCGATAACTAGTAGAATGATCAATAACTGTACTTAATTTTGTTTTATTATTTTCACAAATAACGCTTGTAGAGACATTTTTGTGCAACATGCGGAAATCCATGGTCCACCGACAGACCGTCCCGCATACGAGTGACCCCCTCTCTGATTAGTGTAGAAATTTATTCAGTAAAAAATTGAAATGGTTTCAGATGCAGTGAAGTTGATAGAGGAACTTCGCCACCATGTTCAAGAATCTCGCCCAAATTCAGCAACGCCTACCAGCGCTGCCACAACTGTCACGCCAGTTCAAGTATACTGCCTTTAGTGTTTCTCTAGGCATTGCTTTGATTGGTTTGATAGCTGCAATGCTACGTCGAAGGAGGGGTCGGCGACCTCCCACACTGAAGAAAGGAAACAAGCATAAACCAGGCTTGGCAGAATTACAGAGGAAATATGGACGAATAAGAAAACCAGCTGCTACACCAAATGGAGGTACTTAGATACACCTCCACTTTAATTGTTATAATGAATGCAGCGGTAGAAACTAACATTTTTTGTCCACTTGTACTTACAGCTGTAGAAACTAACAGTTTTCGTCCACTAGTCCTTATATTGATAACATATAGCAAATCCCTTAAAAATAGCAAATGTCTACTAGTCCTTATGATGCCTTAACTATTGGTCATTTAGGCAAGGACTACAGGACTAGTGCCAATTTCTAATGCTGCGAATGAAAAATACACTTTGTGATGATGTATGCTGGTATACTACTAAAAATAAGTAAAAGAACATCTGATTTTTAAATATGACTATTTAATCTGTCATGAAAAATGTTTTCCTATGGCAAAAAATGAGGTGTTCTTTAATTTATTTTGAGTAGCATATATTATACAAATCCATTGATAAATGTTCTTCACAAAGCTAATCTGGACAAACATGTATACTTAAAGTAAATATTAACATGGACATACAATATGCTTAGTATGATCCATAAAGTATACCTGGGAATTTAGAGGTGAGGTGAAATGGGTTTTTTACGTCGCATTCAAAATTGTTGCACTGTATATGCTATGGTATATAGTGATGTGCATGCACATGTGGGTGTGGCTTCATGTACTAGTCTGGACTAATGCCGATTTTATGGTGCTAGCCCACTGAGATACCATGCTGCAGTTTAACTTCAATTCCCCACTAAGACACAGTATACTGACTCCGAGCCTACCTAGCCCCTTAATGCCAATTGCCATCCAGGGTAACAACAAGTAGCTTCTTTTAATGTCTTTTGGTATGACATGGCCGGGGATCGAACCACAGATGAGGCCTGGGATTTACCAATTGAATGGGATGTTATTATACCCAAAGGATAGAATGGAGGCCAGCGTCCTACATGTTCTCGATCAGTAGACTGTTAGACAACTTACACAAGGTTTATTCATTCGTCAAAAGTTTTCAATAGAAACAGCGAGTTGCACACGCGCAACACTGCATGCAATCTCTCACAGTGCATAACCAATTCCTATGTCGCTGCATGTAGCTTTGCATCAGCTGACAATGGCAGAATGGAAAGGTTCATTTCATCACTATTCAGCAAGGTTTCAGCATATTGTGTGTTTTGTTACATTGTGTTAACTCTTTCATCACTGGCTGCCCCAGAGTTATGTCCCTTGAGACCCTGCAGTCCCTGACACTGACAAGCCCTGTACACTGGCCTCCCTGGCAGTATTATTGGAAAATCACACTATCATTTTTGATGCACTTTTTCTACCAGAAACTTGCTTTTAATATACATTTATCATATACCATTGTAAAGAGGATTAAGTATACTTTAATATTCTTTGTTGTTATTGTCTGTAACCTTTGTTATTTTCTAATTACAGGTGTTTACAAGTGAAATAAAACTTGAAAACACTGAAAAAATGAAAACAGACAATGAATTTTGGCTCAAATTGTATTACAAATCACAAAAATAAATCACAGATACAAGGTAAACATAACACAGTGGTCTTGTCATCTTGGACGGCACAGGTAATCCCAGGTGTTACAGGTAAATTCTCTTCATGCACATCTGTAAACAAATAAACAAGTTTACAACTCTTGGTACTGACTTTGTTTTCTATACTGATGTCACATATTACTTATGATACACTTACAGCCTCTTAGGTAAACTCGTTAACACAGGTAAACTTGTAAACGCAGGTAAACTCGTTAACACAGGTAAAAACACAAATATTTGATTTATTTTGTTCTTTATCAGGATTTGAAACAAAAATTAAGTATTTAAGTTTTCAAAAAGTTATTTATCACATTATCTGAACATTGAACCACAGCTACTATAAGAATGACATCACAGGGAAGATAACACAGATTGATCTGAAGAGGGAAACATTGTAAAAGGACGGAAAGATCGTAAATTCAAGTTCTGCAAATATACAAGTTGTGATAACATATTTACAATACACTGCTATTTACAATTGCATAATAAATTAAATCAGTACTTTATTAAATCAATTAATAAATAATAAACATTACAGTTACTAAAATTTAAATTAAGATGTAAAAAACAAGAAAACAAACATGAATATGGAAATAAATTATATTCAAATTGGGCGAAATATAAGGACATACGACAAACCGGCAAACTACAATTCGGATTGCGATCAGAAAAATAAATTTTTAAAAAAAGAAACAGATACGTCATGCCACTCACCTTTGTTGTTGTTGTGATCGCTCGTTCACGTGTAGGCTGCATTCTCATTCGTCGCACTGATAATCTGTTCAAACACAGAATCATTGTAAAACAGTTGGAAAAAATCAATAGCACGACTCTTCACTCACCGTGTCAATATATATTCTTGAATCCGGTCGCCTCTTCAAAATCCCTCATGTCTCCACTGTCGTGTGTCCCTCTGCCACTCCCATTCTCGAAAGTTGGCGGGGGGGGGGACACCTCGTCGAAACCGTCAAAATCTTCACGAAAATATTCGCGAAATTCCCTCTCCCCTTCGCGTAAATTATTCAATTCAAACACATTATTATTCCCGATATAGTCGTTGTTAATCATCTGATCGCTATCCGAATCGTAGTTGGCCGCCATTACGCTTGATTTACGATTCAAGCGAGAAAAATACCTGTCGCGAAAACAGGTGACATACCCGCGATTTTCGCGCCAAAAAGACGGGGAAATTCCATCGAATGACGTGTCAATACGTGTAGATCTCGTTTCCATATTTAGAACGAGATTACACACGAGAAAGGAAGTAGAAAGAGCGATTTTGTAAACACGCTCGCGCCGCCCGATTTATCGGGCAGCCGGGTTCTGGGCCTCGGCTTATGCTGCCCGATTTTTCGGGCAGCCGGGTCCTGGGACACGGTTTATCCTGCCCGATAAATCGGGCAGTCGGGGCGAAAGGGTTAAGGATCATATCAGACGGGCAGAGATAAAAATTTCATAGTTTTTTAGGACCTTATTGAAACAAATTTACCATGTTTACAATCACACTGAACAGAATAATCTGATGTCGACCATTGAGAAATCCTGGACCATGTAGCGTGTATGTTAACAACTAGCAAGCATTACATCAATGTGCGTATGCTGCAGCTACTCAACATGTTAAAGGGACAATGAGATACTTTGTATTCGAGGACAAGTTCTTGAACTCAGTGTTTATGTTTTGTCAACTTGAAATTAATCTGAACATTCTTCAGTTCCATGGCAATATGGAATACTAATGATGCTATTCTAGTAATAACATTTCCCTGCAATCAGTCACATGCAGATCCCATGTGGTCACTCATTAAGTCCCTATTAAAAGTGGGGTGGTCGGGTAGCCTAGTGGTTAAAGCATTTGCTCGACCCGGGTTCGATTCCCGACATGGGTACAATGTGTGAAGACCATTTCCGGTGTCCCCAACCGTGATATTGCTGGAATATTGCTAAAAGCGGCGTAAAACCATACTCACTCACTCACTTACTCCCTATTAAAAGTTGAGTACCATATTATAGAATTTATAAGGGAGTATAGTGTATCAGGAAGAGTTTCCTCTCTCCTCCTACTGTTACAGCCTTCTACCATTACAGCCTGATCACCAAATGCATAGAGAGATTTTATTTGTTTTATACCACAGTCATGTTAAATGGAGACGATGGTTATCTAAAAAGAATATTAAGTTTTGCAACAAATACAACATCAAAAGATTCACATCAGATGGGTATGGTTTGCTAATTTGAAAAATGTAGTAACCATGGCAATAGCTTGTATTTCGCTGACAACAGGACCAATAAAGAGGAAGATGCTTTACTGCTTAGTTAAACATTGTTGCACTGAATGCAATATTAAATACAATGTTCAAATACATCTGAATTAAGGAAGATAAGAACTAAGGAACTAAAAAAGGTTATTTTTCAAATCACAGTATTAAAGAAGTTGTTATCCATAAAATTGTGTCTATCTTGTCATCCATCAACTTCTAAGTAACGCCTATCAAACAATTTTCAAATCTTGAAAATGTCAAAAATTTGAATCTGCCTTTAGTGCATTTAAGTGAACATACAGAGAATATTAGAATATTTGTGTATACATGTGGATTTAATCTGACAATGAAATAAAGTAAGAATATCCTTATAAATATGTTTGAAGCATACTTGGGTCTTACTTTAAGCATTGTGTGCTTCTTGTAAGAGCCGACCAAATGGATTAGGTGACCGGGCCTGGTGACTTGGTTAATTGTGTGTCATCGTACCTTGACAGCGGGATCGGTGCTCGCTCTTTCAATCTCTGGATTGTCTGGTCCAGACTTGATTATTTACAGGCCGCCGTCTATAGCTAGGTTAATGCCAAACCAAAACTTACTTTTAACCTTGAAGAGTGTGATCATTGCCTTGACCACAATGCTTGAAAAGCATTAACTATGATGGCTGAGATTTTGTTTGAACCAGCTGTACCTAATGAGATCTTGAAATTATTGTTTTTAGACGTCCCATCTCGGTTGCGAGACAGCGTCAGTCCGAGTGGGTCGATGCGCTCTCTCATCCAGCAGAGGTCCCTATCCAGCTCTCTCTCCAGCCTGGGTGGGGCGTCATCGTCGACAGTCACACACCCCGGCGTGGACCCTGACAATATGTCCCCGCTACAGCTGTGTCAGCTCGGTGAGTCACTGCAGCAGAAAATATGTAGTTTTAGAAGTTTTACACAACTTTGGGGATTTTCTTTGACTGTGGTTTACATTATCTGTTATCTGTGATGTAAAAATAGCCATCCACTCAAGTTACAAAGAGATAGTGATTTCAATTCTGTTGTGGTGGTGAATGAATCAGGCTGCAGAGTTCAAACTTTTACCAAGTGGCCATATATAAGTAATTTTTTCCTGGTAGCCAGTAGTAAAATCAAGAAGTCAAGCCAATATTGTAGGTAGCCAAAAGCATTTGAAATTATCTTTTATCTAATAAAAAGTTTATTATATGTACAAGTCATAGCACTAGTCTTGAAATTGTATAATAGTTGAAACTGTACTTGATTTTTGTTATTTGTGACTCAAACAATGATGCAATTTATGTTACTAGATTATTTAGGTACATGTATATCCTTGCTTATCCAATGCGCATTGTCATCTGAAACACAATAATAATTACATTGATATTTATGTATTTCTGTTCATTGTCGACTTTAGGAGGTATTATACACAAGTACAATTATAAGCGGACATGTTTTCCACAATCAGCTATTATTTATTTTTGTGTCTTCAAATGTGAAGCAATAGAATTTAGTCGCCACAAGATATTTTTCAAGGGAGTCATTTGGCTACCTCTGAATTTTAGACAGTAGACAAATTGAAATTTAGGTTGAATTGGCGACTGTTTTCATCGCAACTTTGAGGCCTGTGAGATTTCTATTCTATAGTATTAGTATCAGTACTAATCTGGAAGTTGAAAATTAGTTTTTGCAACCACCTACTAAATGGCTTTACTATTAATTTCCGTAAGTTTTGTCACCTTGTTATGTTGTGTATCACTTTGTTGTAATGCTGACCTAGCTCTTCAGTACTCATATCTTGGCACAGGATTAACGTTAAGTGGATTGTTAACCCCCTTGAGATGTAACACACAAGATGTACTATGTGTTGTACGTTTGTCTCACCTTGTAATTCAGGTATGGAGAACCTGGGCGATGCTGTTGCATTCTGGGAGGATGCGGTGATGAAGCTGTCGTACTTGGATGACCAGCCGTACCCTGCTATACCGGTATGTTAGGAACTAATACCGACATTTAAATGATAATACAAAAATTCCCTCACAGGCAATAAATAATTATTTTATAAAAATATATATATATACTTTTCAAAACAAGCTAAAGCGCACCCACAATTGGAAGGCCCTGTGTTGCAATACCCACCAATTCACTATAGTCATATGAAAAAATCGGGTGTTCTTTAGAACATGAAGTAGAATATGTTGTAGTATATGGATCGGGTGGTCAGGCTTGGTGACCTCGTTGATAGCGTGTCTTCGTACCTTGGTGGTGAGGATTGTAGCTTACATTATCAATCACAGGATTGTCTGGCCCAGGTTCAATTATTTACAGGCCGCTGTCATACAGCTGGAATATTGCTAATTGCGGTGTTAAAGAACAAACAGACACTCTTCTGACCATCACACATATGTCAAGTTGCCTGTAGTGTTAGAGGGGGCACTAGTGGTCCAGTCGTCTAAGGCGCTGCGATTCGCTGTGCAGAGTTGCGTGCCTTGGGCACGCCAGAAACCTATGATTGTGGGTTCGAATCCCGGTTCGCCCCGATTATGTTTCTAGGTTTGTCTGCACCATACCCGTGCTCGTGGGTTTCACTGAAGTGGTAAACGTCTGAGACCTGCATCACTTCGGGCCTTCCTCCCACATTAAGCTGACACGCCGTGATATAACTGGAATACTGGGAAAAGCAGCGTTTAGGTTCATGTCAGAAAAGAGGATGAAAAGCATGACATGTAGCCTGACTTATCTATGGTGTTTACAGGACCCTGACACGGCAGCACTGCAGCATCGTCTGGAGCACCTGCTGGACCTGGCGTACCGTATGCAGGACAACTACGAGCGCCAGTGCGAGCGACATGCAGACCAGGTGGCGCTGGAGTCAGCCTTGTCTGCCTTTGCAGAGATTGACCGTCTCCAGGAGAGGCAGCGGAGTCTCGACGAGTCTTCCAGCGATCAGGACTCTTTCGTGTCGGCCACAGATGTGAGTATTAACTTTGTGTACTATTATATATTTGATTAGTAATGATTCGTGTTTGTTTTGTCAAATTACATGAGGGGGCATACCATACCCGTGCTCGTGGGTTTCACTGAAGTGGTAAACGTCTGAGACCTGCATCACTTGGGGCTTTCCTCCCACATTAAGCTGACACGCCGTGATATAACTGGAATACTGTTAAAAGCGACGTTTAACCCAACTCACTCACTCACTCAAATTACATGACATGCATGAGTAATGATACACTTGGAATTCTTTTTAAATTTTGAACACGATTCAAATGACACAAGGCTATTAAAAGTCATCCAATCAGAGGACTCTCACAAGTGAGGTTAGTTCTGTGGGGAGATAGAAGGAGATGGTGACATCACTCCCGAAACAAAGCTATGGTGGCAACTGGGTCAAGTGTATTAATCTTAATAAAATGGAGATATAACACACTGGGTAATCGATGATGCAATATAGTGCTCTAGTATTCGTGAGGCACGGCAGACCCGTGAAGATCTGGGGTAGAATAGGTCTTCAGCAACCCATGCTTGCTTAAGAGGCGACTATGCTTATCATAATAGGTGGCTAATGGCTCATGATGTCAATCACTGGGTTGTTTGGTCCAGACTCAGTTATTTACAGACCACTGTCATACAGCTGGAATATTGCTGAGTGCGGCAAACAAAAGGCATGGCAACTTGCTGTGCAGATTTGAACCCCCTGGTCTGGCCAGCATCTTCTGATGGTGTGTTAGAATCCTAGTTTTATCCGATTATGATCCTTGGTCTCAGCTTGTGACTGTGGCTTTTATTTATGTACTGACTACATTGTGGTGGTACGTGGTCCTGTTTACAGCCACAGGTCACAATCAGGCAAAGTTAAGCAATGTTGGGCGCTGAGAATAGGTGGATGTGTGACCTTGTGCTCATGAGCGTTTGTAGGGCGACGGTCCCGCCCCACACCGAAGCACGTAGAGCACATGTGGTGTCTCCTTGGGCAAGTGACTTTGTTCGAAGTGTGCCTCTGTTTACTTAGCGGTGAATGAGTACCCGGTAGGATGAGAGGGTAATGTGTCTGTTAACCTTGTAGCGCCTCACAGGCAGCTTGGGATGTATACTCCCCAGGGAGCTGAGAATGAAATTTGAGTGCACAAGGATCCAAGGATCATTGTTATAATTTTATGGAGCCCCGGTGAGCGCCCATCCAAGCCGGAAGCCATGCGCCTTAGAAATACATTATGTTATTAATATGTTATTTATTTAAAAATGTACTTCTTGCCATTTTGTTATTTTCTGAAAGTTAAATATGGTTGGTATGGCAGTATTGATGTTACAGGTTCTCCTTGGTTTCAGATGGCCAACCTGGCTGACCTCGAGAAACACCGAGAACTGTTCCGCTACCTGCCACTGTATGAGGCCGGGCTGCTCGAGCTCAAGTATGGGAACATCTCCTGCAGATCTCTCAGGTAACCATGGTAACATGCAGCAGGATTACCAAAATGATTATTTTAAGTTCATGATATTTTGATACTCTGACACTCCTTTCCAAATTTATTCATGAAAACAAAAACAATTTTTCAGTCATACTGCCTCTTCTAAGTATCCAAGGTAAAGTGACAGAAGTGACTGTGAAATGTTTTACCCATTCCATGGCATTTCGGCACCACGGTTTCCAGTGTTACACAACAGCATTCTTTCACAGTGGCAGTCTGTGTCAAATAATTCTAAGTCTATAAGTATGACTAGCCTGAAATTGTCTCTGTGCATCAATTTTTAAACTTATCCTATCTCACACTATGCATTTCTCTTTCTTCTCTCGATCCTAAGTGGAAACATGCCTGAACATATGTTTCCAGCTTCTTAAAAATAATTCACCCAAACACACCCAACATCACCATGGTCACCTCCCAGTAATCTGGGTCATGCACACTTTTCTTGCCGGTTGACCCACACGTACTGAACATGTGGTTTCCCCAGCCAACTCATTCTCTTTCTAATCACCACCTTGTGCAAGAAGAAAGAGAAATTTGTGGTGTGAGATAGGATAAGTATTATAAATATAAAAACGACTATTATTATTTATGTCTGTATTATCTGAATCACTAGACCAAACAAAAGTTTTATAGACTCGGGCTTCAGACTAGGTTACAGAGACTGCTGTAGGGATTCTGGGTAAAATACTCTCTACTCTCTTCTTGTTTCAAGAGCCAACGTATTATCTCCCTTTGGAGAGACGTCATGTTTAAGCTGGGGCTGTGACTATTTGTGTATTTCACCAGTATAAACCCTAAAATCTCCAGACTAATGTCTATGTGAGGATTAGTAGTGATGGAGGAAGTGTTCAAGACAAAATGGGCGTTTCTATCGATCTATGGAGGTTCAGAATCGGAACTTTTGACAAGTCTCACTTGGCACGTCCCCGCCATTACGTGCATGTTAATTATGAGTGAGTGAGTGAGGATGGTTTTACTCTGCTTTTAGCAATATTCCAGCAATATCACGGCGGGGGACACCAGGAATGGGCTTCACACATTGTACCCATGTCGGGAATCGAACCTGGGTCTTCAGCGTGATGAGAGAACGCTTTAACCACTAGGCTACCCAACCACCCCACATGTTAATTATGTAAAGTACTCATGGTGGCTTGTTTCTGCAGTGTCATGGTGGTAACACATGTTTTTTCTTTCAGAACTGAGATGGCGGAATGTCTTTCTGATACCGAATTTTTAGCAAAGTTATTTGGTCTGAGGCTAGCATTTGAGGTATGTGCTTAATACTCTGAACTTGTTTTTATTAACACTGCAATGTATTACCCGTATGCCAGTATGCTGGGATACCAAACTGCAGGAATAACCATTGCGATATGGTCTGAGTGGTTCGGTATGGGCATAAGTGTATTTATTTGGGCTTTATCAATACTGAAATGTATCTCAGACAAATAATACTTGTAGTACACATTGCTATTTGTCACTGTGTTACTACTGTTGATGTAGTTTTACTATGGTTACAAATGGTGGGCAAGCCTTGACTATGAGATCGTTCCCAACAATAGGGTGAAAGCTGATGTATGACACTATTTGATCTAGAATGAAGGGCACTTCGAAAGTGGAAGAAAGCTGTATGTTCTTGGCAACATATTGCAATACATATCACAATACAGACCTAAGTGTTGTAAAATATTGCAATACAAAATTACAGTGCAGGATGAAATTATAAATACATACAGGAATGTCATATTTGTGATAATACTTCCCTAGTAAAGTACAAATTCTAGTTCTTTTGGGGGTTGAGTCCCATCTGGGATTCGAACCCACACTCTCAGAGTGAGGCAACAATTCACCTCAGCGATCTAACCCACTCAGCCACCGAGGCTTCCACAAAAATGAAAGTCCAACAACTGGTACTCTAGATCACATACTTTGTGTACCACCTCTGATGTGGGTAAATTGACATGGCTCTGATGGCCGAAAGCTATGAATGCACAATGCCAATGAAGTATTACACATGTCTTAAAATATAACACTAAATTGTGCTCCTGTTATTATTTTGGTTATGTTTTATCCTACGTATTTCAACAATATTTAAGCTGGTCCCAGGTAATCTGAAATTACCAGTCTAGCTATATTTACCAGTAAAAAATCGGTAATTACAGGTTAAAGATGCACAATTTAGGGAGAGTAGTAAAAAGTTATTTCATGGTGGTCATATGAATAATATTTTTCGTGATTAGTGTTTTGTTTTTGTGTTTTCCAGCATATTTTCAAAGATGATGCGAAGCGTGAATGGTGGCGGGTGACGGGCAGGAGGCTGATCGGGGACATGCTCATACAGGCAGAAAAGGTGAAGGTCACGTCAAGATATTAGTCTCACAGCTCAGTGGCCAGATCGATCTGGGTTGAGACAGTGCTGTTTGTGCCCTGGGTGAAATTGTCTGTGTTTAATCAGACCTACATTTGTTTAGTCAAATGTTGTTTCCTTTCTTACATGTCCTTACTGAAACAAACCCTGTGGGAATTTAAGGTTAGAATTAGTCCCCAGCAACTTACATTTGTCGTAAGAGACGATCGGGCGGGCAGGTTCGGTAGCATTGTTGATTGCAGTGTTTCCCAATGGCATGGGAATTTGCTCATGATATCAAAATTTTGTCTGACTGACCCTTACTTGTCCACACAAAAACGATCTGTGAACACAATGACTCTACGTTTTATACCATACTACATCACTAGTCCCTGTGTTATGTGTAATTCAAACCACAGTCAACAGAAATCTGAGATTTTATTTATATAGACTAGTTTATGATTCGATGTTTTGACTTTGATACATAAATGGGACCAGGGTGCAACCTGGTTTTGTCTGGTGCAACTAGGTTTTCATGTCCACATGCACCTTGTGCATGTTAAGTCAAGTTCCTTTAATCAAGCCCTGTATAAGGATGAAATTAGATGGTCCAGTAGGGGTAGATTTAACAACAAATTTGTATGTAGCCAGCAGGGCTTCCTCCTTTTAAGAGTTACTGGCCCTTCTCCAAACTAACTTGCCTACAACTGGCCCTGAAACACCTTATGAGCAAATAGAAATGTTGTACACAACATTACAAAATGGCAACTGGATGTCATTCTACCGAGATGAATGACAAATATCTCTCTTTCACACGGCCTCATATAAATATTTTACATGATTTGCGAGCATATAAAAAAATTAAACATTCATGGAGAAGGGGATAAATTTTGACTAGCCAGACGGGCCATCTATGTTACGTTTCAGCAAGTCCTTTGTAACTTTAACTGGCCATGGGCCAACAGGCCGGCGGTTAAATCGACCCATGTCCAGAATGAGGATGCCTGCCCCAGGACTGAAGACATCTGATCTGTCATCCCACATACATTTGATGCTTATGCTGTATGCTTGTATTGTGCTGCAGGGTCCCACATACACATGACACTTATGCTGTATGCTTGTATTGTGCTGCAGGATCCCACATACACATGATACTTATGCTGTATGCTTGTATTGTGCTGCAGGATCCCACATACACATGATACTTATTCTGTATGCTTGTATTGTGCTGCAGGATCCCACATACACATGACACTTATGCTGTATGCTTGAATTGTGCTGCAGGATCCCACATACATTTGATACTTATGCTGTATGCTTGTATTGTGCTGCAGGATCCCACATGCACATGATACTTATGCTGTATGCTTGTATTGTGCTGCAGGATCCCAAATACACATGATACTTATGCTGTATGCTTGTATTGTGCTGCAGGATCCCACATACACATGATACTTATGCTGTATGCTTGTATTGTGCTGCAGGATCCCACATACACATGATACTTATGCTGTATGCTTGTATTGTGCTGCAGGATCCCACATACACATGATACTTATGCTGTATGCTTGTATTGTGCTGCAGGATCCCACATACATTTGATACTTATGCTGTATGCTTGTATTGTGCTTCAGGATCCCACATACACATGATACTTATGCTGTATGCTTGTATTGTGCTGCAGGATCCAGAGGAGTTTTATGTCTGTTTTGACAAGATGGTGGCGTTCGTGGAGGTTCCAGATAGCTGGGACAAGATTGAGGAAGAGCTTAAAGGCAGAGGGGTGAGTTCTGGCAAGAGGGGCGAGTTCTGGCATGAGGGGTGAGTTCTGGCATTGATGGGTGAGTTCTGGCATAGATGGGTGAGCCCTGGTATTGAGGGGTGAGTTTTCTGGCATGAGGGGTGAGTTTGGCATTGAGGGGTGAGTTCTGGAATAGATGGGTGAGCCCTGGTATTGAGGGGTGAGTTTTCTGGCATGAGGGGTGAGTTTGGCATTGAGGGGTGAGTTCTGGCATAGATGGGTGAGCCCTGGTATTGAGGGGTGAGTTTTCTGGCATGAGGGGTGAGTTCCGGCACAAGAGGTTAGTCCAATAGCATGATTATGGGGTCCAAAGCAGGTGACATATTCCAAGAGTTTGACTGATGTCATATTGTACATACTCAGCTAGAAGTCTATTATTGATGGGGAAAAGAATAGAAATGACAGTTCTATGCAACATGCACACTAAAATATTGATAGTTTTTAAGATTTAATAACACCATACTGTTTTGCACAGGACTCTCAGCGTAAATTATGTGTTTATTTCAATTTTTATGAGAGTATAGGATGTGAGAAATACCAGCATGTTTCAGATTGCCAGGGATCGGTGTCACCAGGAACAAACAGCCCTTCTTTTCTGTGCAGTGTAGGGGCGGTGGGGTGGCCTAATGGTTAAAGCATTTTGCTTGTCATGCCTGGGCCTGGGTTCGATTCCCCACATGGGTACAATGTGGAAAGCTCATTCCTGGTGTGCCCCGATGTGATATTGCTGAAATATTGCTAAAAGCGGAGTAAAACCATACTCACTCCCTCTGTGGGGCCTAGAAAGTGACTACTATACTCTTGAGTGAGTGAGTGAGTGAGTATGGTTTTACACCGCTTTTAGCAATATTCCAGCAATATCACGGCGGGGGACACCAGAAATGGGCTTCACACTTATACTCTTGACCCTGAATAAATGTTTGTGTACTTAATTAGATTGAATTGAGGTCATATTTTTGTATTTCCTTTGTGTCATGACTTGTTTATTTTTCAACTTCAGGTGAAGACTATGTCCTTCTACGACATTGTGTTAGAGTTTATAATGATGGATGCGTTCGATGATTTAGACAACCCGCCAGCATCTGTAGTGGCTGTTGTACAGAATCGATGGTTGTCAAATGGTTTCAAGGAAACAGTAAGTATTATCTATTGGTTCAGAATATTAGGTGAGGTGAAATGGGGTTTAACGTCGCGTCCAAGATTATTGCACTTATATAGCGACGTGCATGCACGTGTGTGTGTGTGTGTGGCTGCTTGTACTAGTCCGGACTGATGCAGATTTAAAGTGTTAGCTCACTGAGATACCATGCCGCAGCTTAACATGAATACCCCACTCAGACACAGTATACTGATTCCGAGCCGACCAGTCCTTGTTTTAGCCCCTTAATGTCGAGCGCCAGACAGGGTAACAACAAGTACCATCTTTTAACGTCTTTTGGTATGACACGGTCGGGGATCGAACCCTGGGCCTTCCGCTCTCCAGGCGGATGCTCTACCACTAGACCACGGAGGCGGCCGTTCAGAATATTAGATGAGTGTGTTTCCCTATCATAAATATATAGTGGGAATAAGGTTTGTATTATTTATGATATGGAATTACACAGGATAATAATACTAAAGTGCATCAGTGACACTGGTCCTGACTCCATTATTTACTGGCATCCCGGCCCATGATACAGCTTAGTTAATACAGACTGCTGTGTTTACACTCTCCCTAAGTAGTATATTAAGTTTGCAGCTTTCATACTTGAAAACAAGATGCTAGCTTTATGCAGTTTTGGAGCATAATATCCATGTTTGACTGTTTTACAATGTCCATGATTGTTTGTTTTACAACGTCCATGATTGACTGTTTAACAAGGCTATATTACATTAAGTAATACGTTACCACTGTTATACCAAGGCTGTTGTCTCCCACAACTGCTCTTATAGCGAAATCTACCACAGAGATCTCAGTTACCTCATGCACATGTGTAGCCACCTGAGCTGCCATGTGACACCCTTCACTCTTGTCTCTTCGCTTGCCTCAGCAAGATGTACAAAGACTGCTCTGAAATAGATTTCGCTATAAGAGCAGGTGTGGGAGACAACAGCCTCGGTAGAACAGTGGTAACGTATTACTTATAGAATATTCCGAATAGGAAAATTCTACAAGATCGTTTGTTTTACAATGTCCATGATTGTTTGTTTTACAATGTCCATGATTGTTTGTTTTACAATGTCCATGACTGATTGTTTTACAATGTCCATGATTGTTTGTTTTACAATGTCCATGATTGTTTGTTTTACAATGTCCATGATTGTTTGTTTTACAATGTCTATGATTGTTTGTTTTACAATGTCCATGATTGTTTGTTTTACAATGTCCATGATTGTTTGTTTTACAATGTCCATGATTGTTTGTTTTACAATGTCTATGATTGTTTGTTTTACAATGTCCATGATTGTTTGTTTTACAATGTCTATGATTGTTTTACAATGTCCATGATTGTTTGTTTTACAATGTCCATGATTGTTTGTTTTACAATGTCCATGATTGTTTGTTTTACAATGTCTATGATTGTTTTACAATGTCCATGATTGTTTGTTTTACAATGTCCATGATTGTTTGTTTTACAATGTCCATGATTGTTTGTTTTACAATGTCCATGATTGTTTGTTTTACAATGTCTATGATTGTTTTACAATGTCCATGATTGTTTGTTTTACAATGTCCATGATTGTTTGTTTTACAATGTCTATGATTGTTTTACAATGTCCATGATTGTTTGTTTTACAATGTCCATGATTGTTTGTTTTACAATGTCTATGATTGTTTTACAATGTCCATGATTGTTTGTTTTACAATGTCCATGATTGATTGTTTTACAATGTCCATGATTGTTTTACAATGTCTGATTGTTTTACAATGTCCATGATTGATTGTTTTACAATGTCCATTATTGTTTGTTTTACAATGTCTATGATTGTTTTACAATGTCCATGATTGTTTGTTTTACAATGTCCATGATTGTTTGTTTTACAATGTCTATGATTGTTTTACAATGTCCATGATTGTTTGTTTTACAATGTCCATGATTGATTGTTTTACAATGTCCATGATTGATTGTTTTACAATGTCCATGATTGTTTGTTTTACAATGTCCATGATTGTTTGTTTGTTTTCAGGCTTTAGCCACTGCTGTGTGGTCGGTGTTAAAAGCCAAGAGAAGAATGTTGAAGGTTAGTACATGAGCTGAAATATATACAGAGTTTTGTGCCTTGGCCTTGTCAGGATCTGCTCATTGTTGGCATGACATTGGGCCTTCATCTGTTGCTTAGCTGTCACTCTGTTATATGACTGAAATACTGTTCACAACATTATCAGACTCATTATTAAGGTGATCTTGCACTGCATTCTTCTTGTTCTCATCCTTAGGAGCATCAGCATTCAACAATTGTGAATTTGGAATGTTATGTCTCACACACTTGTGCTTTTTAAGAGAATTCACACATTTGCATCAAATAATAATGTTCATATTCATAATTAACCAAATCCACACCCTTAAGAATGCCCAAAGCCCTACATTTATACCCAGTTCAGTGGATCAGTGTGCACTTGAATTTCATTCTCAGCTCCCTGGTGAGTATACAACTTATGCTTATGAGGTGCTAGGTTAGTATCTCATCCTACCGGGTACCCATTCACTGCTGGGTGAACTGAGGCATAATTCGAACAAAGCCTCTTCCCTAAGCAGACACCACATGTAACATGTGTTTCAGTGTTGGGCAGGACCGAAACCCTAGAAACTCTCAGGAGTGACACGGGGGCACGAGTGGCCCAGTCGTCTAAGGCGTCGCAATTCGCTGTGCAGAGTTGTGTCCCGTGGGCACGCCAGAAACCTATGATTGTGGGTTCGAATCCTGGTTTGCCCCGATTATGTTTCTAGGTTTGTCAGCACCATACCCGTGCTCGTGGGTTTCACCGAAGTGATAAACGTCTGAGACCTGCATCACTTCGGGCTTTCCTCCCACATTAAGCTGACACGCCGTGATATAACTGATATAAATGTTAAAAGCGGCTTTAAACCCAACTCACTCTGTTTAATATCTGTTTATCATGTTTATTTGAGATATATTTTTTTAACATTTAATATATGTTTATTATATTTATTCTTCAGTGAAAGATTGTTCATAATTCTGGTCCTGTTCCATTGATTGCAGTTTTCCAATGGTTTTATATCCCATTTCTATGGAGTAACAGAACACGTCAGTCCAGTGTTAGCCTGGGGATTCCTAGGACCTGAGTCGGATCTCAAACACATGTGCAATTTTTTCAGGGTAAGATTCACATATATTTTACCCTGACCTAAGAGGGTGGGGTTTTTAGTTATACCAAGGAATTCCTTCCTTCCGTCCGTCCTTCTGAGGACATTTGTTGTGCGACCTATATCTTGAAAACTACTGCATAGATTCTTTTCACACTTGGTAAATACTTTCTACACCAATAGGAGAGGTGCAGTGCGAAGTTTGATTTCAATATTTGGATTTTCTGAAAACATACAGCTATTTTTCTTTTTTTGACTTAGAATGTTTTTACTGAAACATTTGGGTGACCAATAACTTTAAAATTACTGCATGGATTCTGTTCAAATTTTAGTAAACAGTTTAAGTGAATATGAAGTTATATTGTGAGTACTGATCACCTGCTGACAAATACCTGTACTTTCAATCATGACAATTTTCCTTTCAGGAACTTATTCTAGGATTCATCTGTGATATGTTCAGTTTCGACAAGGTTCGGTTCACGACGGTGGAGGAGCTTGCAGCCGATATCATGAAGTTGGCGGAACAGCGGAGTCAGCAGGCAGAGGACCGGTTGTCTGTGTCATAGTCTGCCCAGGGACAACTCTGTACCTTCACCTCAATAGACATCACTACCTGCGAATAACACTGTATCTACACCTGGTCAATAACACCATACTGTTATCGCACGGGGATACAGGAGTAGACATCACTACCTGCGAATAACACTGTATCTACACCTGGTCAATAACACCATACTGTTATCGCACGGGGATACAGGAGTAGACATCACTACCTGCGAATAACACTGTATCTACACCTGGTCAATAAACACCACACTGATATCGCACGGCAGATACAGGAGTAGACATCACTACCTGCGAATAACACTGTATCTACACCTGGTCAATAACACCATACTGTTATCGCATGGGGATACAGGAGTAGACATCACTACCTGCGAATAACACTGTATCTACACCTGGTCAATAAACACCACACTGTTATCGCACGGCAGATACAGGAGTAGATATCATATATATCTTCCTGTGTGAGGAATATCAGCATTACATGATAACAGATAAAGACTGGAACGGAAGAAACTCAAAGTCCCACTTTCGACATGTTTAATATTGAGTTGAGAATTTGAAGAGTCATCGGTATCAGACCCAGTTGCCATGGTGATTTTAAAGACATGGATAGCTTTTAGTGCAGTGTTTCAAATCGTGATCATGTTGGATTCTTTATCTTGTTTAGTATTTTACATCAGATGACGTGAGAGGGTCACATGTTACACAAGCAATGTAACCATGGAAACAGGAAATTCTTCACATGATTTCTACCTGTTCTGTTCACAATGAAGAGGGCCATTACAGAGTGTTCAGAAAACTATTACTAATATTGAAATATCACATTTCTCATTTCATTTTCAGTCATTTGTTACTTGTAAATATTCCATTATGCATGTTGTTGTTACTAAGATGTATATTTATCTTGTATATCACTGCATGTTCATAGCTGCAGCGGTAGAGGACATTTAGCGATAGCAATGGTAACAGGCATGATAGCGCTATGAGGTCTTGTGTAACCATGGTAACACCAATGATATCACTTGCATGTGAGTTGATACCTTGGTGACATACATGATAACTTTGCGATTGAAACTGTTACCATGGTAACAGCAACACTGTCAATTGCATGTTACCTGTAACCATGGTAACAGACAAGATAACTTTGAGATGACTAGATTAAACCATTGCATCAAGGACATGTCCACTGTTTATGGTTAAACTTACGTGGCTACTGTTCCCATGGTAACATGATAATCATGTCCTGACAAATTGATATTCTTTTTTGAAAAGAAGTTTTCATATGAATCATTTTCAACATCAGATCTTCCCGTTCATTACGTCAATACTGATATGTTTTTAATGTGTTGTTATATTGTTTAATATGTAAACAATGATATTCAGTAATTCTCAGATGGAATTTTCAACTGCTTCAGATGCGAATGTTTCTATATTGCTACAGGCAAGTAGTGATGTGTCTAAGCGGTTCAAGATATACACAATCTCATTAAAATCAGATCTTAGTTCTCGCTCCCGCTAAACAAAGACGTGGGGACATCCCATTACGGGTCATGTCAGACCGACCTTGCGGGAACTTTGACCGACCAATGGAATGACCAATCAGAAGGCAGCTTTCTCGTGCTTTATGGCACTAATTTCAAATTGGCGACTACGCTTTGCAACATATTTTGACAAATTCTCGATTACAAATTTGAAACCTGAAAAAAAACATTCTGGAATGGCTAATAGATGGTCTAGATTGTATGGATTCAGTCGTTAAACCAGCAACTATCGTTTGGAGTTAAAGTTTTCGAGGTTGCATGATTAGAAATCACATTCCGACTTTCATAATCTGGTCAGCGATGCTCTGATTGGTCGGATGAAAGGTCATTCTAACGTGACCCGTAATGGGATGTCCTCAGATCTTTGTTTAGTGGTAGCGAGAACTGAGGTCTGATTTTAATGAGATTGAGATTTACACAGTATGGCTCTCAGTGAGGACAGTTGTACGGGACTGTGCTGTATTTTGTCGTAATTCTACAGCAAACATTAGTAAACACTCTCCAAAGAAATTCATGTTAGTACAGTTCTGACTGTGATGATGGCTTGGTCATGTTGACTTGTATTTCCATGACAACAGGACCAGTAAAGAGGAAGGGGCTTTAATGCTTATTTTACATGTTTGCATTTATTTCAATGTAAGAAAATAAGAACTTTAAAAATATTTCCCAGTTCTAAACCAAACAGTTATTTTATTTCAAAATGCCTGCCAAGGCCGATTAATTTGGAATCCCTATAAATTCCTGAAAATTCATCATTAAATGTGTTCTCATCCTTGCATCTTATTTCCCTGGTCTGGCAAACCCTGTTTAGGTCTGAGATGATATGCCCTGTTTGAGAGATTGAGTACTATTTACTGTTAATGTGTGTCAATAGGTCAACTTTCCTGCTGTCGATATTTATTGATTCATAGTAGACTTTAGAATGGTATTACATGTATAATCATAACTTGACCTGTCAGTGATCTTGTATGCTAATTATATTGTATTCTTGAAGATATTGTCAAATTGTTTCATGTGTCTGAACCCACACTTGAACGCCATGTAACAGTACATTGAAAGATTGTTAACTCTTACTCAATTATCTCAATGTTTTGTTTGTTTTATGCTCTCAAAAGAATTGTTATCAGCATGTGGTCTAATATGGTCACTCAGTTGTCTCCAGATATGGCAATTGTACATGGACGATGGTTCCAACGACTCTCTACCCTATTCTTGTTAAAGATTTTTAATTCTCCTTTTTAGTTTTGTATGTCATATTCCAATTTGAACTCTGCAGCCTGGGTGAATTTTAAAATATGTAGCAGTGTTGTAAGAAGTAATAGTTTTTCTAAGGCTACACATTTTCTTTTTCTTTTCATGGGCCCAACACCCCTACTGATAAGCAGCTGGAAAAGAAATAAATTAAACATAAAAAATAATAATGTTTATTATGTGTCCCACTAGGAATATAGACCCTCTTATAAAATATAAAATGTAATATATTAATTCCATGTCTACATCACTATCAGAGATTCAAGAAGTCAGATGCAGTTCTTACTCCACAGCAGAAGGACTTTCATATTAATAACTAAATAATTGACATAGCGATTTATTTATTTATTATTTTTTTTATTTCGACCGACCTTGGAAAAACTGAAATAAATCTGTGAAACATAAAATTAAAAAAGTGTGGCCTTAAAAGTTTTAAATAAATCAGAAGATTAACAGCAGAGAGACATCTTCAGATATTTGGGATACTTGGTATACAGAAGTTTCAATATATTTATAAAAAAATAAAGAACACCTGATTTTTTACATGACTATAATCTGTCATGACATCAAATATGGGGATCGGCTGGCTCATTGCTCATGTTTTCAGTCACAGGTTTGTCTGGTCCAAACTTGATTATTGCAGGTTCTGTGATATTTCCAGAAAATGTTGACTGCAGAGTTATTCAATATACACTCACTCGCCCCATGGTTTTGAGTTGACAAACTTTCACTGTATATCATTGCTCACGATGCACTTGTTGTATAGTCACATGATCTCCTAGCCAATCAGAAGCATGAACTGTGTAACCATGGTGATGTGCACAGATGCTACACGTTGTACCCTATACCCATTACTGCTGTGATATGCAAGTGCAATTGATTTGACCAATCCTGCTTCCTGCCTCTCTACTGCTAGCAATGTTTATTACTATCCGTTGTGTTCTACTATGTGTTAAGGGGTCACGGGTGGCCCAGTCATCTAAGGCGCCGCAATTCGCTGTGCAGAGTTGCGTCCCTTAGGCACGCCAGAAACCTATGATTGTGGGTTCGAATCCCGGTTCGCCCTGATTATGTATCTAGGTTTGTCAGCACCATAGCCGTGCTCATGGGTTTCACCGAAGTAATAAACGTGTAAGACCTGCTTCACTTCGGGCTTTCCTCCCACATTAAGCTGACACGCCGTGATATGACTGGAATACTGTTAAAAGCGGCGTTAAACCCAACTCACTCACTCACTCTACTATGTGTTTGAAGCTGACCGACTTGCCAAAGGTATGAGAGAAACAGCCTCGATTAACCATTGTATAATGTCTTCCTTCTGTTGTGATAAATACCCTGGGGCACTTGCACAAAGCGATCTTACGCGGTACGACTATTGTAAGCCTATGTTAAAGTATTGGAGTTACGATCATCTTAGTGCTAAGATCGCTTTGTGCAAGTGGGCCCTGGACCCATTAGCTATAATAGCTTTATCAGGAAGTGACATCACCATTTCATCTGTCTATCATTAGCTTCCCAGTTTCTCTCGCGCATGAGTGTAATTTGATTGGATGGCTATTTTTAGCTCCGCATACTTTAAATCGGACTTAAAATGAAGCTATGGTGGTCCAGGGTATTTATCTCAGCAGAGTGGCGATATGATACACTGGATTAATGAGGATGTGATTGAATATGCTACCTGGAATTCCTGTTATGTTGTTTGAGAGCACTGTGTTTAAGTCGCTGTTAAATCGATGTAAAGTGCCAGATCCTGTGTTTGGGTTTGGCTGCATAAGAATAGTTTAAATGTTTCTTGGTCACTTTGGTTTTCAAACATTTGAGGAAAGGAGGAAGGAATTTAATTCTTAATTTCATTGAGAAAACTAATGTGGATTGTTGATTTATAGAAGATGGAAGATGAAATGAAACGAGAAACCCCAGATCAGCAGTGAGCAACGGTTCTGTTATAAGGGTTACCGTATTCGACTTATTAGGCACCCTGTTAAAAAATATGCCCTGCTCCAAAATACACCCCCTGACCAACTGTTGGACCCGTCTGTTTGTAATCTTTATAAACACCCCCTAATTAGACCAACAATTTACATGAGTCATTCTGTATTTCATGAGTACATGTATATTACAGACTTTTTTTACAATTTTTTAACAGCAGCACAGAGGGGGTATATCATTATGTTTTGCTTGAGCTGGAATAGTCTACTTCAACATGTCTGATGATCTGTTTACCATCTCATTCTTTAAAAGTTTATTTAATAAATACAATAATAAGTTTTGAGGTCAATTAAGTCATGTTAAAAAGGGTTAAGTGATGTTTATTTATGAACAACACAACTGCTGATATGTT